TCCAGCAGGGTTAGGTGTTTTCTGGGATGAGCAGTTGTGGCCTTTGGGGGCAGTCAGCTTCTCCGTTCAGCGTCCAACTGTCCAGCCATCTCCTTGGTAGCACTGACTGGGCAACTGGGGTGGCAGGCACTGGTTGAAAGAGGGCCAAGTGCTGCAGTGCTGGCCTCCATCTTCCAGCTCTAACCAGCCAGGTGTGGAGCTCAGTATCATCCCACTGCTCCCTGTCTGGCCCAGGCGGCCGGGGTTTGGGCTTTGCAGGCCATCGTGGGAGTTGGGTTTGCATGTGGCATCGCCTGGGCAGAGTGATAGCTCAGAGGGCTAACAGGCATGAGCCAGGCCTTCGGAGCTCAGGCTGGCCGGGCCTGGCTCTGTCCCCCGCCCCTGGGACCCCAGGAGTGTCCAGGTCGAGGTGAAGAGACAAGAACAGCAGTGTGAAAGCAGATGCTCAGGGCACTGCCCGTCCTGTGCTCACTCACAGGCGGGAGCGCGATGGTCTTATGTCTACACTGAGCCTGTCAGGAGCTGCCAGAGGCTGGGAGGTACAGCAGGAAGGACAGGGGCTGTCACCCGGGCTGGCCTGGGTTCAAATCCCGGCCCAGCCCGTCCTGGTCACATGCCTGTGAGCAAGTGGCATCTTTCCCTCCAGCCTTGGTTTCGCCTTCCTGAGATGGCGCTGGGCATGGTTCCTGGTTCCTGCATGTAACCGAGTGTGCTTTCTCTGTCTCCTTCCCTGGCCTGGGAACTGACTCTGCTGCATTTCTCCTGCTCCATCTGCTCTTTCAGGGATCACCTTCAGCACCCTGGCGGGACTGGTCTTTGACCGGACAATTGAGAAGGACACGCAGGCGGGCGGGTTCTCAGACTCCCACAGTGCCCTGCGGTAAGAGGCACCTTGGTGAGGCCTGGCCGGCTTGGGGGGACCTGGGATGGGGGACATCACAGGCCTTCATGGGCCCGGGCCCTTGCAGCACTGTCAGAGAGGAGCCCAGGACACTTCCCAGAAGCCTGCAACGTTCTCGGTGACTGCAAGGAAAGGATTTCCCCTCTCCCAGCTGTGCGGGCACCTGGCTGTTTCCCGTGTGTTCTGTGGGAGCTTGGCAGAGGCTGGGACCAGCTGGCAACACGAGATGACACAGAGAACACAGTGCCGTCTCAGGCTGAGGGGACAGGGGTGTGGCCCGGGGCGGGGGCGGGGCAGCACTCCCTGTGTGGAGCAGGTTGGAGGGAGGCAGGTTTCAGCTGGGTGGGGGGCAGCTAGCTGGGCTCCCTAGCACGGGAGCAGACCACACCTTCAGTGTCTTGACTCATCTGTGCCTGCAGCGGACTTGTGGGCTGGACACAGCTCTCCCCTCTGCATTCTCCAGCCTAGAAACTGAGACTCAGAGAGGTCCAGCCGCTGTCTGGAGTTGGTAAATGGCAGAGCTGGGACTTGAACTCAGCAACATAGAGGGGTGGCCAGGCTGGGCCTTCAGTTGGGAGCCCCAATAACAGTGCCTCAGGTCCTTCTCACAGGGCGAGTCCCTTCCCTGAAGTAGGGTTTTCCAACCTCCAAAGCTGGGGATCCTGTTTCAGTTCACATACAGTCACTATGGCCTCATTTCAGGGACTGGATTCCAGAACCTGTATTTCAGAGTGTGCTTTTTAGCTCTCCCTACAAGGTAAATTTGATCTTAACATAACACAGTGTCTTTGGAAATGTGACATAATGCAAAATGTGAATAGTATCATTTGCAGAAGAAATCCAAGCTTAAGATGAAAGACAAGCCAGGGAGCCAGATGCTAGGAGCCTATGTAGGACAAGGATCTCAGTAAAAGGAGCTGCAGACAAGAGATCCTTCTTTACCAATGCTGGGTTTAGGACCAACGAGAGCTGTGTGTTTCAGGAGAGCCTTGGCTTGCTGTCCACCCCTGAATGTTACAGTGTGGCATAGTGTGGCCTGGTGTACAACCCTCCCCAAATGTTACAGAAGCCATGTACACAACTTTCAGAAAGTGCCTGAAAATGACCTTGGAGTCAGACAACATACAGCTTTTCAGGTGGACCTTCTCTCACTTTGTAATTAACCATGAGAAATATAGAAGAAGCCATCAGAGTGCTGTTTCATTTTTCCTCATTCTTCTGTGACAGAAGATTTTAAGACAGTAGGCCACCAGTCAACGTTTGGTGATAGGATACAATTCTAGCAGTGATATGTGAAGGGAAATGTAAGTTAAACTCAGAAGGAAACACTACCTCACTCTAGTTAAAAATCACTATTAACAAAAAAAATAAAATATCAAGTACTGGTGAGGATGCAGAGAAAATGGGATTTTTGTAGTTCATGAGTGCACGTACAGCCCTAGGGATAGAGAATGAAGAAAGGAATTAAGAAACTTCCCACACATCATGTAAACATTATGGACTACACATATATAAAAAAATCAAAATAGGATTGCAAAAAAAATTAAAAATAGAACTACCATAAAAGCTAGTGATCCCACTACTGAGTATATAAACAAAGTAAATGAAATTGGTATGTTAAAAAGGCAGTTGCACTCCCATATTTATTACAAGACTACTTACAGGAGCCAAGATCCACAAACTACCTACATGTTCACTGTGCGTATTCTAAGTAGCCTTATTTTAATAGATTATGAAAAAGTTGCAAGGAGTATTTGCTGCATTAGCTGGTGGTAGCCTCAAGTGTCCAATCCTCACAGAAACTTATTGAAAAAAGTTATTTATGTAAATTGTTAGGGTTATTGAAGGATAAACCTTTCAGATATCCAAGTTGTTACCTAGTTTTGTAACCTATGTAGAAAAAAATTTCTTTTCCAAATAAGAGTATAGTAATAATTCTGACAAGAATAGTAAAATGTCTAAATGTATGTGTAGGAAAATGGATGGACCTTGAGACCATAATGTTCAGTGAGATAAATCAGACACACAAGCTTAAATATCATTTGATTTCTTTTATATAAGAAACCCAAAATAATATCAATAAATTAAAGAGCAAAATACAAGATAATAGCTAGCTGAGGAATAGATCTTTTGTAAAAGGGAAGAGGATGAAGAGATAGAGGAAATGAAAATAAGAATTAAGATGTGTTATATACTAATTCTCTGTGATTAGTATAATCAATGTGTACTCCAGTCATATATTAATTAAAAAGATGAAAAAGGAATTTAAAAAATACATCATTTGCTAAGCTTCACTTTTAGTTTAGTATGTGATGTTAACTTAATTGGTGGGATTTTTAATTTAGTTATTGTGGATATTGTTGGATGCTTTTCAAAATGTATGTTCCCCGTTTTCCAATTTTAACACCCTGACTTATCTATCAGGGTATAACTATTACTAAGAGTGTAACTATTGTTTTTAATTATGTAGATTATGGGGGGGTGATTATTTGTTGAGATAGTCTCTCTCTGTAGTCCAGACTGGTTTTGACCTCTATGTAGCACAGGGTAACATCAAACTTGACATCCTTCTGCCTCAGCCTCCTGTCTGCTGGAATTGCAGGCATGTACCATCATGCTTGGTTTCGTGGCTTTTCTGAGCTTGAGCCCACAGCTATCTCTCTGCATGAAATTTTTGCCTTAAGTTGATTTCTTTTATCTGGATCATTGAATGGGTAAGGGATGAGCATGCAGATGAATTTGGGCAATGGAAAAGGACAAATTCCATGAATGTACAAACAATATGGCAATTCACAGGGACACAGGTGTACTGTGCTGGGATTATAGACATGTGCCACCATGCCTGGCTCTATTTCACAATTTTTCTTTGTAATCAGAAAAAATAGACTGGATCACACTAGCTTATAATGGTGACCACTGGAAAATTGTTAACATTGTGACCAATGAGAAGATACATAAGATATTTGTTATACATCTGTCTATCCAGTCTTTGTCCTCATTTTCTGGAATAGCTCCTGAAGTCCTTGGAATCCCGAAATTAAGTATCTCTCTTCCTGCATGCCAACACATGGCTGGTAGCTGGGGCTGGTGCCAGGGACCAGCCCTGTGATCTGAGGGCTGGAACCTTCAGCTCTACTCTCCCTTCATCCTGGGAGGAGAGGGGCTAGATATAGTGGTCACGGTGCCCAACACTGAAGCCACCAGGACTTCTTAACCAAGTCCTAAAACCCAGCCTCTAGTTGCTGAGCCCATGGAAGTGCCTGGTGGACAGTAGCCCCTTCCCCATCCTCAAATGATGTATCTTTTTATCTCATCTGTCTGGTCATTCATACCCTTTAAAACATCTTTGTACTAAACCAGCAGTAGTATGTAAAGTGTTTCCCTGAGATCTGTGAGCTGCTCAAGCAACCCATGGAGGCGGTCATGGGCACCCCAATACATGGCTGGTCTGTGGGAGCAAGGAGTGGCCTCACATGTGCAGGGCTGACCCAATCCCTCGAGGGCGTCAGAGCAGGTCACAGAGTGGGCAGACAGCAGCTGGTGTGTGAGGACACCCCACACAACAGGGGCTGGCAGCAAGGAGCCACAGCAATGACTGTAGTAGGCACCAACAGTGCAGTTGCTTTTCCTACTACACAAAGACGCAGAGAATACAAATGAGATGCAGCGAGGCTCCTGACCAGCCAGTCTCGTTTCATACAGCTTTTCCATAGCTGGATGTGGTGGCGCACACTGGGAGCCCTAGCACTCGGGAAGCCTGAGGCGGGGTTGCAAGTTTGAATGCCACACAGACAGCTTCCTGAGACTCTGAGGTCTCAAAGTTTTAAAAAGGGTCTGTGGCTATGGATGTGCAGAGCACCCCTGGGTTTGATCCCCCAGTACAGGAAGAAAAATAAAAATCAACAGGCCCAAAACGGTGCAGCCATTCATCAGGAGAGCTTCGTTCTTCTCTGCCAAGCCAGTGAACAAGCAGACCGCTGGCAAGGCCACCGGCGGGAAAGCTCTGGAAAACAGCAGGCCACTAAAGGTAAAGACTCTGGGTTCAACCCCCAGTACCCTCAAAGAACAAAACCTAATAAAAACAGAGGACACATTCAAGTCAGGTAGAAATCACCTTCCTTTTAAATGAGTCATTAAATTCAGTTTCCTCTCTCAGCTGTTACTCTGGTAATAATTAGGTCCCCTCCTCTAAGAACATTACATCTGACCAACCTGAGAGCCAGTGTGAATACGAACCCCAATCCAGGGCTCTTGGAACAATAAAAACCAGCCTTTCCTTTCACATAGAAAGGGACAGGAACTGCAGGGTCTAAATCTCCACTTTCCAGGCTAGAAAACTGAGCTCAAGGTGAGTGGAAACCAAGTGAATGAGGAATGAAGTCCAGGACCCTATGTGCAACGGCACGGCGGTCTTGACCACCTGGCCTCTTCTATGAGGAATGGCCCCCCACCAGCGTTTTAAAGGAAGATGTTGGTGCTTCTATTTCACTTCTCATAGAGGTATAAAAGCTACAGAAAGGGATATTATGCATCAGAACAAATCAACTCACTCACAAGAAACATTCCTGGATAATGATTTCAGTTGCTGAGAACATTCAGCATTATTTCAGAGTGGCAAAATTCAGGGTAATCTGAGAGAGAGAAATCAAAAGTGGTGGCTACAGGGCCAGGGATTTAGCTCAGTGATTCCACCACTTTCCTTGCAAGTGCAAGGTTCCAAAAAAGAAAAAGTGGTGGCTACATTGGCTGACAGGTTTATACAGGACACACACACACACACACACACACACACACGCACACACACACACAGCCTCCACTTTCCTTTTCAGTGTATCTGTCAAGGGGCCAAGACCCTGATCATCAAAATAAATTATTTTACACATTACAGTATACAGACACAGGGAAAGACACTTTCTCAGAGAGCAACTAAAAGGCATTTTGCAAAAGGTCCACATCGCTCTGGAGTGGGAGGACGGGAGCCCACACGGTGGCATGCATTAGCTGGACACCACCTCTTCTTTGGTGGCACTGGCCTCAGTGGGAGCCTTTCCCTCTGTGCACTCTGCTGGCTTCTCCTCCTCCTCCTCCTCCTCATCCTCTTGGGGATACAGGTCAGGGTATTTCTGCATGCATTCCTGCATGGCCCGAAACTGGTCTACACAGTCCGACCCCTTGATGTCCTCTGTGCTATAGTGGAAGCAGGAAAAGGCCGACTTGAACTGTTCCCCACAGGGGCCGCTGGCCATTCCCCCCAGGCATGGGCAGTTCCAGTTAATGTCTCCATTCGGCAGGATCAGCCCTGGGGAGAGAAGGCAGCAAGGGAGAAGTGAGAGGTGCCCTCCAGGTCTGGTCCAGTCCTCATGGGGCCTGGTGCAGTCTCTTCTCTGCACCCAACCCTGGCTCTGGAGCAGGTTCAAGGGCCTAGCCAATTCTGGCCTTCCTCGCCTACAGGACAGGGCTGCACTCCTCTCCAGAAGCAATGCTAACTGTGCTCTGTGCCATCTCGCAGCGCTAGAGGCTGTGCTGAGACGTGAACCCTGGAAACCATTTATGCCCTAGAAGTCAGCAGTTAAGGCGGTCAGTGGGGCTCTCTGAAAGCCAGACTTGAATGAGCTGCAATACTGACTCTGACCCTCGGCACTTGAGCCCTTCCTGTGCAGCCATGCTACAAGCTCAGCAGTTGGGACAGGTAAAAATAAGGTGGCGAACCCATATGCATGGACTCGGGAAGCTACCTGCCCATGACGTGCTGTGTGATGAAAAACTAGTGGCTATCAGAGCAGTGCAACTGCATTCTACAGGAAGTATGAGAGCTGAGGTGTGGGTCGGTGGTACAGCACTTGCCCAGAATGCACAGGTCCTTAGTTTGACCTTCAGAACCATAAAAAACAAAAAAAGAAAAAAAGAAACCAGAAAACAAAATCCTAACCCTAAGTATTAAACTGTTAAAATCTATACAGGTGAAATTTTAGATGGTTTTTCATTTTCAATATTACATATGCCTCTTACTTTTGAATTTTATCTTGCCCTATCTTTGAACTTTGTTCACATCCACACAGTACTGACAGACACAGAGATGTGATTCATCTAAGTTTCTTATGTGAGCCGCTACGAAGATAGAGAGCACCCTTTAAAAGAGCCTCTACAATGCCCACTGAAACTCCATACAACCTTCCCTCCAGGGATAGGCCCAGGCGTGGCACTCCCAGCCATGTCCAAAGTCCTGACCAAGCCTCATTTCTCCATTCTAGCCCCGAAGCTACACTGCTCAGTGGATCTGCTGCAACTGGTCCTCATATATTGAGGGTGAACAGGACACTGCTCCTTCCAAGGCCGTTCACCACCAACACCAGCAACAGCCACATGGCAGGTTCCTGGGCACTGAGTTACACCCAGTGACCCAGTCATCATCAACCACCTTCCACCGCAGGCACTACTAACTCCTGTCTACGGCTGCGGTCTCTGGTCTTCGGTGTCCAAGCCAGGTCCACAGGACTCCCAGAGCTCAAACCCTAAGGCCCACATCTCTCCCCTTCTCCTGCTGCTTGGGAATCTCAGTGCTGAAAAACCATGGAAACGCCACCCTGGAGGTGCACACCCACCAACCCTGCACAGGTAGTTATCCAAAGGAGACACTCAAAACTGACAGCCCAGGTCTGCAGGGACTCAATACAAACCCATGCAGATGGCAGCTTCAAAAAATTAAGGCCAGATGTACATTTTTTAAAACCACTGAGAGGCAAAGAAAACAAAGCCTAGTTCGGACCTAAGGTAGGCAGAGTAGGAGAACTGACATGTGATTTATTTTCCTTTATAAAAGAGCTCTGATTCAAGGTAACTCCTAGAGCTGTCATTCTCAGAATGTAACACTTTGTATGCCACTGTTCCCAACAGGATGTGAGATAAGGATGATAATATACTGAATATTTAAATCTTTTAAAAAACCTTTACCACAGTAAAAAACACATTGCAATTAATCCCCTTCAAGATACTCTCCCTCACTACCATCATTCTTGCTGCTTCCTAAAGCAGCTCTGAAGTCCTCTTTCCTGTGTGTCTTTAGTTATGGCCTTGATGTCCTGAATCAATTTAAAACATTCACTTTTCATGGTCATTTTGACTTTGAGGATCAGAAGTCACACAGTGCCAGATCTGGAGAATTGGGTGGATGAGGACACACTGCAGTATTTTTACCAGCATGATGTTCCTCGAGGTGGCACGGGGCAGCAGCATTTACCTTAGTTTTGATTTACCTCACAAGACACTCATGAAAGGGGACTTTCAGAACTGGTCCAGAAAGTGGCAAGAACAGGATTAAGTGTTGAAAGTATTTTAAGGAGGATGAACAACAATGTGTCTTTTACTGTAATAAATTTTTATATTTAGACATTCCTGATTCGACCGCATATGCATACTTAGCTTTCCTCTAACCCGAGAAACAAGAAGGGTAACAAGTGTCCCATCTAGGAGTATGGATACTGAAAATTTCAAGCTCTTCAGCCATATCTATCACCAATTAGTACTAGAAGGCTTCTCAGTGGTCACCATGGGTGTTAGGAGTTGTTTTGATGGTGAACTGACTACTGTTTATAATACATGGACTGTATGAACACTGTACACACACACACACACACACCCCTACCTTACAGGGGCAGGGTGAGGGCCTGATGAGTTCACACTAAAGCCTCTAGAGGTGTCCCAGCCCCAAGTGACCAGTGCTACACCCAAGGTGTGAGTGGTGGCTTTGACTGAGTCAGCAGAATCCTGCTGCTGGAAAACTGTCTGTCTCTGTGCCTTGCGCTGGCTGAAGCACCGACCAGGAGAGAGCAAGGACTTCAGGTATCGCAGGGACAAGTAGTGTGGCTGCCTGTTTGCCTGCCTGGTAACACACTTGGCAGATGTGGCAGAACTCAGTCTGGTAACTTGGCTAACACATGGGCCCGTCACCTTGATGAACCTGTAACTGCTGGAATCCACAGACACCCTTGCCTGACACCAAATCACTGGGAACACACAGCTGGTTTAAGTTAGTGCAAACATTCAGGAGAGAAGAGAACTTCAGTAAAGAGCTGATTGCTGGCTCACAGTGCAGGTCCAGCACCTCCCTAAGGGAGAGAAGGATTCGATGTCTGGAGAGCTGCCCAGGGCATGGGAAGACAATTCTCAACACCCAGCCTGCCCTAGGACGTGGCTAGGGGTCCCCAGCAGGTCCTGTATCACTCACCATGCTCCTCATATGGGTCGTTGGGGTCATCGGCCACCAGCTCTGCACTGCTAGGAGTCTCATGGTCTTCTTTGGTCACGAATATTATCCGGTCTTTCCCTAGTGTTGCGAGAGTGGAAGGAGAAATGTATCACTTGAGAGCAGTACAGCCTGCCTTAAGCCCAGAACGGCCACACAAACCATGTCCTATATGCAGCCTCCATGTGAGGTGACCTTCCTTCCAACATTGCTCCCCTGGGTGGCATCACTGGCTCTGGAGGACGGTCCAGCAGCCACCTCTCCTGACAGCCTGAGCTGGAACAAAAACTCCACTGAGGCAGCACACCCTGCTTTCTGAGTGTATCCTCCAGGTAAGGAATGCAACGCTCCAGCCCACCAAAGGTGATTTCATTAGCCCCAATTTGCTGACAATCCTCCATGCAATAGGTCACATCCTCAGCAAGAAAGCAACAGCAGCTAGCCGTGGTTACACATGCCTGTAATCCTAGCACTCAGGAGGCTGAGTGCAGGAGAATCGCTGTGAGTTCAAGGCCAGCCTGGGATTCACAGTGAATTCAAGGCCAGCCTGCACTAGAAAGAAAGCAACAGGACCCCTGCCTCCAAGAAAGAAACAAGGAGGAGGTAGTCTCTTCTCAGGGTTCTCAGAGCACCTGCTGTCCATGCCACCCCACCTGTGGGCTCTCTTCTGTGTGCTGCGACTGCCCTCCTGCCCAGTGATCGTCAGCAGACCAGATGACCTCACAAAGCACAGGGCCAGGGTGCTCAGTACCTGCACTGTGCTATGGGACAGGAAAAGTGCTCTGAAGACAACGGATGCTTTCTATACCCTTACCCACAGGAGTCAGAACACAGTGTCTGAGGAGCAAGGCCTGGGCAGAGGGAAGCATAAGGCAATGTGGGGGCCTGGCCTGTGGGCTACTGCAGCCAGTCTGCCCAGGATAGTGATGTCCAGGCAGCTCCTTGAAGAGACTGGCAGAGACTGGCAGACACAGGCGGCCTGGGGATGACAAGGTGAAAACCCTCCAGGAGAAGGGAGGGTCCTGGCAATGAGGAATGCTACAGCCATCCCCACAGCCTGGGGCTGGGGAGCTTTGTCACAGAAGTGCTGATGTTCTAAACTTATAACCAGTATCCAGAAGCCAGAGCACAGTGTCCTGTCCAGGACCAGATCCCAACCTCTGGCCTGTCTGCCAGAGGGTCCTACAGCCTCCAGGGAAACAAGTGGGAGCCAGGTGTACTTTATACTAGCAGCTTCTAGTGGGAGACTCAGTGAGCACTGGGGTGGGACATTCAATACTGGTTTCACCTGAACCTTACAATGTCCTGTAGGTATTGCCCTACCCATCAAGTGCAGCAGGGAATGAAGGTCCAGAGCGGTTACCAAAGACCAACCGGGGGAAGTGGCAGGCCAGGTCCCACCTAGCCATGTCCCTCACTGTCCTCCCCTGGATGCCCTGCAGCTGTAAGCCCATCAACCATCTTCCTGAAAGCTCTGTGCATCAGCTGACCCACTGCAGGGATGCTCCCGCTGTTCATACCATGGAGGGGAGCACCTCGCCATCCGTGCCCCACACACCACAAGGCAGGTCATCCCTCTCCCTGGTACGATAGAGCGGGCATGTCCATCTCTGGTCCCTTTGCCCCCTCCCTATACAGAAGGGAACAGCCTCTTCCGGGACTAAGCCCAGGCTCTGGGCAGGGACTTGCTTTGGCTCATCCAGAGCTTGAGCCTCCAGACTGGTCAGAGAACAACAGCTGACTGGGTACCAGCACCACTTGTGCACTGAGTACCAAAGGAATGTCTGCTGAATGAATGGTGAAGATCATGCTTGAATATTCCAGAAAAGTACAGGGATCAGAGCGGAACACAACCCAGGCACCTTGTGGAGAAGCCTGGTGGGCAGCAGATTTCCTTTCAAGAAGGGGGTGCTGGGGAAGGATCTTTCCTTTGGCACCCCTTGCCAAAGGTTTTAGGGGGCAAAGGATGAACAACATCTCAGAAAGAGCCCCACATGCAAAGCTAGAAGGCAAGAGGTATTTTCAGATGGTTAAGTCTACAAACGGTCAGAAGACAAGACGAGGTTCTAAGAGGCACCTGAAACAAGGGAAATCTCTGACCCTGTGGAACTTCCCAGTTCTCAGGCCAACCCTTCCATCATGCCAGGAAGGCGATGAAACCATCATCTTGCTCACTACTCTATGCTGAGTGGCTGACGTTACACATGCGCACCATAAACACTTGCAGACTGACCCAGACAGGGTTGGCTCTACATTAGAAACTGCTGAGTGGTAGCACACATCTGTGATCCCAGCTACTCTGTGGTCCTAGCTACTTGGGAGGCTGAGGCAGGAGGATTGCAAGTTGGAGGGCAGCTTGTGCATCTCAGTAAGACCACCTCAAAATAAGAAAATAAAAAGGGGTTGGGGATGTTGCTCAGCACTTTCTGGGTTCAATCCCTGGTAATGCAGAGGCAGAGAGGGGGTGGGGTGGGGGAATCGAAGGAAGGCCTAAAAGTTAGTTGTTTTCAACTCTCACCCCCAAACTAGGAACCAGGAAAAAAGGCCAAGGCACCAGGCCATGATGTCAGTGCCCCCAACCCCACCTCCCCAGAGAACCTGTGGGTCCTGTGACTCCTCAAGAGAGGTAGTTTTACCATAACAGCCTCAAAACCCCAAAGGCTCAGAATTTCCTACCTGAAAAGGTAAGTTAGACTCAGGAGAAATATAAAATAGGGTGCTTAAAGCCTGGGGGGCCGAGGGATCCCGATTGCAGCACTCATTAGGCATGTGTCCCTTCATGGACACGGCGCTTAAAAAGGTTAGCAGTGTGTCCAGAAGTAGGCTGTGGAGCCGGGCAATGGCTCCATCTTTTAAACTGTGCTCAGACTGGATGTATGACCTTTGGTAGGTCACCTCCCTCTCTATGCTTCAGATTTCCTAACGAAGGGCCTGGACTACGGACCAAATGATTTCTGCCTGAATTCCAACTCTTAACAGTTGTTCTTTTTTTAAATTTTTGATACAGGGTCTCACTACGTAGTCCAGATGGCCTGGAGCTCGCCGCGATCCTCCTGCTTCAGCCTCCCGGGGTTGCCAGACTGTCCTCGTGACTTTGGGCTCCCAGTGCCCACCCGTTCCCGTTCCCTGCTGGGAAGGTGCTTCCTGTGCCCAAGGGCGGGAGGCCCAACCTCCAGTGCCCGCGAAGGTCGGGTGGCAGGGGCTAGGAGCTTCCTGGCCGTGGGGCTTGGGTCGCCGTCCTCGCCTGCGGCCTCAGGATCCTGACCGCGGCCAGACAGTTCACCTGGCCTCGGATGTCGGACCTCGGCCGCGGGGCCCACGCTGACTGCCCCAGGCCTGACCCGTAAAGGTCGCTGTGAGCCACGTGGGCGCCACCGTCCGGAGCGCGGGCACGTGGTGCGGGGCGGGAGCCCAGCTGGGCGCCCGCGCGGCAAGCTGGGCCCGCGCCTGCCGCGACCTCGGCCGCCCACGCCAGCCCCAATGGATCCTGGCGCCCGGGCCCTACTCACCTTCCTGCCGGCAGTAGGACATGGCGCCAGCGCTACGACCCCCAGGCGCGACTTCGCGCTCCTCACTCCAGCAGGCGGGCTCTCCGCTGCGTGCACCTCCCTCTCAGACCTGCCTGTCGCACCCCTGCCGGAAACTACGATTCCCAGCAGGCTGCGCGCTTCTGAGGCGGCTGCTAACCACAGGAACTACACTTCCCAGGAACCCTGCAGTGCGCAGGCGCACCAATGAGGGCCAGAGCACGTCGCAAATTTGTTGCAAAAGCACCTAACCCGCCCAACTACATTTCCCAGCAGGCCGTGTGGCGCGCTGGCGCAGAGAAGCCGGGCCCCAAGGAGCGGTAACCGTAGACAGTCGCGCGGAGTCCCTGAGCTCCTAGCAGAGTGTCGTGGCTCTGGGCAGGTTAGTGTCCGGCAGGCTGCAGGCTGAGCGGCCAGTCCACTTCCAGCGGAGCGGAGCCAAGGGCGGGAGCCGGGCCTCAGCATGGCCGCGAACGTAAGTGTTCAGTCCTACTCCCGTCCAGGTCCTCAGGGACCGCCGGGATCTGCCCGTCGTCCAGACCTCGGACCCTGGGTCTCGGACACAGGGCGGGGCGGAGGACGACTTGGAGCCGGACGGGACCCTCGGTACCGAGCCTGGCCGTCAAGATGGGAAGGTGACCCCGCCCGGAGCTGTGCAGCCTCGACAGCCGGGATTGTGCGCGCCAGGGACAGGGAGCCTCTTCCCTGGGTTTGCGAGCCGGGGCCGCATCCCACTACCGCCTTCCTGCGCGGACGTGGAGAGGCCCTGGCCGATAGGGGTCCTCAGGACCGTTGACCTCTTCCCCTGCCCCGCCCTTCCATTTCTCTATTTGAGAGCCGGGAGTGGTGGTGCATGCCTGCAGTCTCAGGAGGCTGAACCAGGAGGGTCGCTGCGAGTTCGAAGCTAGCCTGGGCTACAGAGTGAGACCGACCCTGTGGAAAAAAAAAAAAAGAAAGAAAGAAACTTTCTATTGAGAGCCAATATTCATGAACAAGACCAGCAGCACCGCCTCACAGGGCACTGGGTGTGGGAGAAGCTGGTGACTCACCGGCCTCCCCTGAAAGTGCTACTAGAGACAGCTTGGGAGCTGCCAGCCCCAGCCATGCCCTCCTCTTTTTTGGTGCAGTGTCCTGATGCCCTCCCCTACCTCCTACACCCTCTTTCCAGGCCCCTGTGTCCCTGTGCCTCCTTTGCCCCCCCCCACCACCACCTCTTGAGAGTCAGGGTGTGTGTCACTTGCCGCCCCAGCCAGCTCTGCCCTTGAACGCTGCACCTGGAAGGCTTTGGAGGTTGTCCCTAAGACAGAAGTCAGTAGCCCTGTGTGCCCACATTGTCACCACCTGTATTTCACTCCCGGCCAGCTCAGCATGGCAGGCAGGGTGCCAGCGAGGGCAGCTTTGGCGTCAGGCAGGTACTTATTTCTTGGGGTCAAAGAGGGATCCTCCCCAGCTAGAAACCTGTGGTTTTTGGGTGTGCTGGGATCTGAGTCCTCGAGGAGGAGCACAGCCAGGGTGTTTATCCTCTGTTGCTAGGCCTTCTTTACTGGTCCTGCAGCCATTTATGGACCCACCGAGGCAGGTGAGGAAGAATGACCCAGCGATAGTGGGATGGCACAGGGAGACAGGAGAACTCAGTATAGCAGCAGCTGTTCTGTGGTGAATGCGTTTTTACTACTCCCTCTCCTGGGTGGAAACAGGACCAGAGAGGTGGAGCGACTTACCCAGGCTTACACAGCAAGTAACTGGCACATCAGGGCTTCTGGCCCAGGTCTGTCCATTTCCAGGCCCTCTGTGTTGCGCTGTTCCCACTCCTCATTGCTCATGGCTTGTTGGCCCTGAGTGCTAGATGTGCAAGGGTGGGTGTTACGGGGAGATGGATTTGCGTTATGAGTATTCATTCTCCATGATTCTCCAGGACCTTCTGGGTTTACTGGGGATTTAGTTCTGAACATGAGCGGGATGTGCCATGTCACAGCCCACACAGGCCTCACTTCAGGGACATCCTCCTTTCCAGGCGCCTGAGCCCATCCTGGGCGCTGGCTGAGGGGACAGAAGGAGGGTGTGTCTCCTGTCCCTGTCACTGCCTGCAGCTGGTCGAGGCTCAGTAGATAAGGAGGATGGTGTGGAGCGGAGGGTGGACAGGTGCTTGGCTCTGCCCGGGGCTGTGCGCTGGATGTGCCATCTGTGACCTGGGATTCCCTGTGACATGTCTGGGCATGATCACCATCATCATTAGGATGGTCGGATGCCGCCCTAGCGGTTCCAGCTGGCGTGGAAAGTCAGTCTCTGAGTGCGGAGGACACCTGCTTCTCATGGGCCCGGGGTGATGGGGTTCAGGAACAGTCAGGATGTGGCTACTGCTTTTCCCAGAGACTGACTGAAGTCTCCCCTCTGCCTGCCAGCGCCCCCACCAGGGCCAGGCAGGGCCTGGTTCCCCGCACCTTCTGGGAGCCGCTTTGCATCCCTGTGACCCACGACCTGGCTGACCCCCATGGTGCCCAGTGTGCCCCTCACTCAGCTGCCTGAGATTGGTCCTGTGTGCTGACCACCCAGTCGGACTGTGAGGAAGCAGAGGGCATGGCAGGTGCAGATCGTGTGCCCAGGCTGTGGCTGCCATGTGACAGACCCTGCTTGGTGATGGCTCTCCACCAGCAGCGACACACTCCTTACTGGGGACATATCTGCTCTCCCCACCTTTGGTTAAGGCCCTCAGGGCATTGTCCAGGCCTAGTCCAATGTCAGGTCCACATCAGGTCTGCTTCCTCATCTCCCGGCCAGGCTCCTCTCCCTGCTCCCCTCTGTCATGCACTGCCCACTGGGAATCTGAGCCCTACCCTGCCCTCCCCCAGTGACCCTGTCTGAGACACCCCACTGGAGGGGACCTTGGTGCCAAGCCCACCTCTCACGGACACTCAGCAGGACTCCCTGGTGTCATCTGTGGCTGTGACCTCTCTGTACAATAGTTTGGCACCTTCTTAAAAAGTTGAGCATCAGGCTGGGAATTTAGCTCAGTGGTTCCACCGCCTGCCTTGCAAGCACAAGGTCCTGAGTTCGATCCCTGGTACCAAAAAAAAAAAAAAAATTGAGCATGTATTTTGCAGCAGTCTGGCAGTTCCACTCCTTAGTTGTCCCTTGGTGTCCATGGGGCTTGTGTTCCAGGTGCCCGGGGACACTCAGAACATCGCCAGAACCGATCAGACCGTGCCATGCATCATATTCATGCATTTTCACTATACATATTGAAACAACTAAGATAGTATAACTAAAACAGCAAAACTCAGCCTATTCTTTTTTTTTTTTTTTTTGGTACTGGGGATCGAACTCAAGTCCTAGCGCTTTCGAGGCAGACAGCGGAACCACTGAGCTAAATCCCCAGCCCTTATTCTTGTTTGTGTGTGTGTGTGTTCTTTGTTCTTTTGAGACAGTCTAACCATGTAGTTTAGGGTGGCCTTGAACTCACTGTGTAGCCCAGGCTGGCCTCGAACTCAAAATCCATCCTGCTGGCTCAGCCTCCCAACTCCTGGGATTACAGGCGTGCACCACCATACCTGGCTTCAGCCTATTTTTAAAAGCTAATTTCCATTCTATTTTTAATGTTTTTCTCTCAGTATTCTACCACAGGTACCAGGAGAGAACATGTCAAAATTACATCAGACCCCCAGCCAGGCTTCCTGGAGCGGCTGAGCGAAACCTCAGGGGGCATGTGTGTGGGGCTCATGACCTTCCTGCTCTCTTTCTATTTAATTTTTACCAATGAGGTAAGATGTCAGTCCCCCTATACAGAGTGAAGGTCCCTATAGCATCAGGGAGCTATGAATCCAGTCTGGATTTGCAACTAAAGGGCCTAGATTTTACACAAGGGAAAGGACACTGAATTTGAGCAGAATTTTGTTCTGTTGTGATCTCTCTCATGACTGCCATAATCAAGAGCAGGAATGGGTTAGTGTACACACCTAGCCTGCTTTAGGCATGGTTGGATCTGAGCTCATGTCCGGGTAACCTAGAGATCCTAGAGAATGAGAAGCATCTTTCTAAACCGAGTTGTCAGAGTTACAGAGAGCTTAGTGCCTAGTTTGAGTCTCGGTTCCCTGAGCCAATCCCTGTGACCAGGGGACATGTATCTGGTGGGCAAGGCCTGCAGTTGGGAGTAGGGAAGAGCAGGCCAAGGGATGAAGGGAAGGGTCAGGGTGGTCAGCAGCCCCAGCTGAACAGTCACTGCTAGGGGCTGGACAGGCAGGAATCCTAGGTTCCGGTCCTGAGTACACCCTTGCTGCACTGCAGTTTCCCAGCAGTAAAGTGGGGTGACGGGTCTCAGTGCTCTCCAAGTCCCATCCTGCCCTGTCTCTGAGTTGTGAATCTGCCCCCACTCAGGGCCGTGCACTGAAGACAGCGACCTCTCTGGTGGAGGGGCTGTCGCTGGTGGTGTCCCCAGATAGCATCCACAGCGTGGCCCCTGAGAACGAGGGCAGACTGGTGCACATTATCGGGGCGCTTCGGACATCCAAGGTAGGCATGGCAGTGCTGGCAGCCGCTGGGGCTTGGGTTGGGCGGCCTTGTGGCCTCTCACTGCTCATCTCTGTGTTGGGAAGCTGGGGACGACAGGGTTGACACTTGGGTGGCCACTGTGAGGGCTGAATGGGATTAGATTGCACACCTGTGCATTGCACCCGGTGTGTGGTGAGCCTTTCTCCCAACAGGTGCTCTCTTGGGAGCAGTGTGGCAGGGCCTGGGGGGACTTGGACACTGTCGAGCTCCTGTTGGCCTGCTCCTGGGCCCTGCACCCGGTCTTTCTTTGAGGTCACTGTGTTAGGTGCTAGGAATCCAGGGCAGGCAGCCTCGCTTGGCTCTCCCCCTGGAAGTAGCTCTAAGACTCTTCATTCTTGTCTCCTTCTCTTTATATCTGGCCCAGTCTGACTTTCCCGAGCGGGGGGTTCTGGACCCCCAACAGCCTTGTCTTGACTTTTGTGTTCTGTTGGATTCTTTGCAAAGCTCTTGTCTGACCCAAACTATGGGGTGCATCTTCCGGCGGTGAAGCTGCGGAGGCATGTTGAGATGTACCAGTGGGTGGAGACCGAGGAGTCCAGGTGAGACAGGCACTGGAAGCGGAAGTCAACATGGGAAAGGAGGAGCGGTGTTGGGGTGATCTTGTCATTGGAATTCAGAGCACAGAATCTTGCTGTCAAATGTCCAGTTCTTCCAAAGTTCACAGCCAGTGATTTTAAATTGGGAGGTGACAAAAATCCAATGCAGAATAGCAGAGTCGCTCAGAGAAAGGGGGATTTGTCTACTCCCTCTAGAGCTGCGCAAGCCTGAGGCATGGCTGGGTCCAGGCCTCAGACAGTGTCATCCGGACCAGTGTGTCCTCCACTGCCATTGCTCCCAGAGCCGGAAGGGTGGCTTCCTTATGTCCTATTCCTGGTACCCGGGGTGGGCACCTGAAGCCTGGGACTGGATGGGTGTGGCAGGGAGCCGAGAAAAGGCAGCTTTGGGCTCCCCAGGGCCTTCCTGGCACACAGGGTGTGGGTGACTCAAGCCCAGAGTCCTGGACTGTGTGGATGTCACCTCAGGTTGAGAAAGGGCAGAGCAGCTCTGTGTGGGAGAGAGCGCCTGGATCTGCTCCTGACCTGTGTGGGGACTTGGGCTCCTCCGCCCTGGGGTAGCTTCTGTCTAGAGCCACCTCTGTGAGCCAGGCCAACATAGCGCTGTCTGTGCCCCAACTGCAGGGAGTACAGCGAGGACGGACAGGTGAAGAAGGAGACGCGGTACTCCTACAGTGAGTACGCCCTGTGGGCACATGCCCCACTTGAGAGGCTGTGGGATGGCTGTGGTACCAGGGCAGATTCCCCAGGCACTGCCCTGCCCCCAGGCTGCCCACCCAGCCACACATGCCTCAGCGCTGAGCTGTCCTCTCCTCACAGATACCGAGTGGCGATCAGACATTGTCAACAGCAGGAACTTCGATAGGGAGATTGGCCATAAAAACCCCAGGTGTGTGAGGGCCTTGCCTGCTGCTGGCTGGTCCCCATCCTCCCTGTCCACATCTGAGTACGGGACTGAGTTAGCTCTCCCTCCCAGGGGATGGTATGGGGCACAGCTTTGAGACCAAGCCCTGTGCTGGGCACTGTAAACAGAAACTGACCTGACCCTTGCCAACCCCAGATAAGGTCCACTCAACAAAGCTGCCAACTCAAGGTATGGGCAGAGGCCGGGGGGCGGGGGGTGGCTTCACATGTACCATGGTGGGCAAGCATTCTGCTGCCAGTCTGATGGGAGGACGACCAGGGAGGGCTTCCTAGAGGCAGGAGACTTCTGGCCTGGGCCTACTCAGGATGTCAGCAGAGTGCTAGTGAGCCCACCCATGTTCGACAGTGGTCAGGTTCGGCTGCATCCAGGGCCAGAAGGGGCCATGAGGGGTATCAGGTCCATGAGAGATCCATCTGGGGGCTAGTGGTGTGGGACAGGCTGTCAGATGTGGGCAGGAGGGTCTGAAGCACTGGGGCACAGGGACAGAGTGAGGGGCTCAGGAGCCTCAGGGTAGGGTCCTGACTGAGGCCACTTCCCTCCTACAGTGCCATGGCGGTGGAGTCCTTCACGGCCATGGCCCCCTTTGTCCAGATTGGCAGGTTTTTCCTCTCGTCAGGTAAGCTGGGCTGGCACTTGGCCTGCGCTGTGGTATGTGAGCCCTGGATTCATCCTTGAGCTCCTTCGGGGAGCCCACTCATATCCGGCCCTGTGCAGAGAAGCCCCCAGGGACAGGGCAATCCCTCAGTCACTGTGACCCTGGGACTGAACACATCCGTGGGGAGGGAGGAGGCGGGGGCTGGGCTGGCCTGGCCACCCCGTGGCCTCTGATGCTTGGAGATGCTGCCTGCCACCACGTCCTACCCCCTGGGAGCCCCCAGCCCAGGGGGGCAGTGAGGGCCGTGATCTGAGGGGAAGGGCAGGGGACCAAGGCCATGCCCAGACGGTCAGGCATGGGACACAGGGACGCCCTGGAAGGGGGACACCTAGTGGGAGAGCCCCATGGCCAAACCCCTTGGACAGGTGGGAAGGTGCGTGGCTGCAGGTCTGCGGATTGGGGGATCACACGGGGGCCCATGGTTCTGAGCATGCCACTTCCCTCAGGCCTCATAGAAAAAATCAACAACTTCAAGCCACTCAGCCTGTCCAAGCTGGAGGACCCCCAGGTGGACATCATCCGCCGAGGGGACTTTTTCTACCACAGTGAAAACCCCAAGTACCCAGAGGTATGGGAGGGCCCCCCACGCCCGGCCACGCCTGTGCTGCTGCAGCAGCCAGCTGACTGGGACAGAGGCCTCCTGGGCCGCAGTGGGCAAGATGGAGGCAGGGCAAGGATGAGTGCGGGGCTGTGGCCAGGGCAGCACGTCCGCCTCACTGTGCCATCCCTCTGCACCCCAGGTGGGAGACCTGCGCGTCTGCTTTTCCTACGCAGGACTGAGCAGTGACGACCCTGACCTGGGCCCAGCCCACGTGGTAACCTGGCTTCCCCGGGTGGCACTGAGTCAGCCAGGGCTCCCGGTGTCTGGGAAAGGGCTGACCACTGAGGGCTCCCTGTGGAGGGACAGCCACCACGTGCAGTCTGCCTGCTCCCGCGAGCCCAGAAGCCAGCCCTAGACCCCAGGCTCGGCGTGGTTCTTCCTCTTAATGAGTCCTCCCGAAGGAGATGGGTCTTCGGGCTCTTCACTGGTTCCCTGGGTGGCATGGACCTGGGGGAGAGATGCCACCCTCTGAGCACCCCTCAGTTCTGACACGCCTTCCCTGGCCAGGTCACAGTGATTGCCCGGCAGCGGGGTGACCAGCTTGTCCCTTACTCTACCCGGTCGGGGGAGACCTTGCTGCTCTTGCACCATGGGGACTTCTCGGCAGAGGTGAGTTGCACTGCTTGCCTTCCTCCTGAGCCCCGACCAGGAGAGGTGACAGCCATGCCGCGCAGAGGGAGAAGGAAGGGGAGGGAAGGAGTGCCACTGGACAGCAGCCTGCATACGGGTCCCTTTCCTGCCACACCACACCCAGCACTGAGGAGGGGATGCAAAGCCTCTCTCCGATAGGCTCTGTCCTTAACACAATCTCACTGCAGGATTCCCATCCAGAGGGTGGCAGGGGCCAGGCACCAGCACAGGGCAGGGTCTGCTGTCACCTCCCTCCCATGACTGGACACTCAGCTGCTGCCTGTCATCATCCCCGTTGGCCTCCCAGTCTGTGCCCCTGCTGTTCCCTGTACCTGGCCAGGATGGGCTGTGCCCAGTCAACAGCCTCCGTCACTCAGAGACTTGTGAATGGGAGGAGGTCCGGTTGGGCCTGGTCTCTCTCCCGCCGAGTCCCTGGCTTCCTGCCTCCTGGGTGGAGTCCCGGGACCCAGCCCCTCCTGAGACAGGTTTGGGGCCTGTGGCTGAGGGAAGGTGGCAGCCTGGGACGGGCACGTGGTCATGCTGTGGGCCTCAGGCTGCCTAGTAGTGGCAGCCCCTGTGCCCACACCCTGCCAGCCACCCAGCCCCACACGCAGGAGAGATCTGGGTGCCCTGACTCCAGCACAGCACAGCACAGGACGAGAGGAGCCACGGCTGCCCAGGGTCCCTTAGCCCTCCGTAGGTCCCTCTGAACCTGTCCCAATTGTAGAGCTTTACTGTGGTTATTGTCATCATTCCCACCTTAGCTGTCTGCTGTGGAGTGTTCACCCCTTCACTCAGCAAGTGTGCACTGGGCATAGGGATGTCAGGCGGGGTCCCCTTCCAGAACCTAGAGTTCACTCCTTGTGGTGGGAATGCATACACGCTTTGTTCTCTCAGAGCCTTGGTTGCCCCCTGCTCAAATGGGAATGTGCTCCAACCTCACTGAGTTATTCTGAGGATTATGTGTTTAAAGGACATGTAAAACCCATAGAGTAGGGGCCAGGCATGTGGCTCAGTGATGCCACACCTGCCTGGCAAGCGCAAGGTCCTGAGTTCGATTCCCAGCACCACAAACAAAAACAATAAACCTCATAGGGCAGTGAAAGGTAACTATTTAGCAGGGAGAGCTGTACGTTTTTATTGTAATGGGTGTAGATCTTGGCAGGTGGGGGCACTGGTTAAGACAGGGCAGGGGTGTCGAACCTATGGGATGTGTGCCACCATGGGCTGTTCGTATCATTGAATGCTCTAAAAGGCTCGGCATCACTGGACTGGGGTGTCGGGGAAGCTCCAAGGAAACAATGTTCCAGCTGAGATGGAGGAACATGCCACAGCTGGCAGGGCCATGCACAGGTACAGATGCCCAGCAGTGGCAGGACCCTTGGCCTTCTCAAGACAGATGGCCACTGGGGCCAGGTTCAGGCAGCAGGTCAGAGAGGCAGCAGTGTGACCATCCAGGAAGCCCATGTTGTGGTCCCTGAGGCACAGCAATAGCATGGATTCTGGGTGGACAGTGTGATGGGCTTGGAGAATGTGGGCACTGAGGTGGCACTGGGTGCTGATGGGACTGGGAAGGGTGCATGGGGTGGGGGAGCCTGCCACAGCTGACCCAGGTTCCCACCTGTATGGCGGTGGGGCCTGGACCTGCTTGCTGAGCTGAAAGAGACTGCTACTCAGTACTGTGAGCCAGGTGTGCAAGATGCCCAGTGGGTTGCCTGAGAGGCAGTGGAGGTTCTGGGGTACAGGTCATGTGGACAGGAGCAGCCACAGCACTTAAACACTGAGAGGCTAGGAGGGTGTGGGACAGCAGTGGAGATGGAGAAGGGACGGCCAGGCAGCGGGAGGAGATAGTATCAGCCTGCAAGGACCTCATGGAAGGGGCACAGCTGCTAGTGAGGGCGCATCTTCTGGGGGCCATGGCCGGGCTTTGCCGAGGCTAGCACCTGCCCCAGAGAGCTCTCCTTCTGCACCCCTTCTCACTGTGCAGCAGCTGGCAGATGGAGGGACCTAGACAGGGCAGGGGGGGTTGCCCTTCTCTGACCTGTCCAGAAGGGGCCATGGCCCCGAGCTGGCACAGCCCCCACAACCCCTGCCCTGCCCACTGGGCACCTGATGTCCGTCTCCATACCTTACAGGAGGTGTTTCGCAGAGAACACAGGAGCAACTCCATGAAGACCTGGGGCCTGAGGGCGGCTGGCTGGCTGGCCATGTTCATGGGCCTCAACCTCATGACTCGGATCCTCTACACCCTGGGTAGGCATGGAAGTGGGGCTGGAGGGAACCTTACGGGGCTGCCACCTGAACTGTGAGCTGTCCCAGCCTGAGGGCCACTCCCTGGGGCAGAGACTGGGCATCTGCCCCTCTGTGATGAGTGAATGGGGGAAGCCAGCATGGTAGAGAGGGCCCCCCTCCGTCCGTGTGTCCCCTTGCTCCCTCCTTCCTTCTTCCTCAGCTGAGCAGCCATAGGGAGGAGGCTGTACCCTGTGGAGTGAACTGGACTTAGCAGATCTGTCTTGTCAGGCTCTGGGTGCTTCACAGTCCCTCCCCCAGCTTCACGGTCTCTCTCCAGTTCCAGGCTTCCTCTACATGGCTGCACTGTGCTCAGACTGCAGGGAGGGCTTGGCCATGGGAGCAGAGACAGGCTGGAGCCTCAGTCCTAGTCGTGTCTCAGGCCCTCCCTAGATCTGGCCATCTATGCCCTAGTTCTTCCCAGCGTGAGACCAGCCTGCAGGGCCGGAGGAAGTCGCAGCAGGAGGTGCACACACCCTGCTCTGTCCTTGATGAGCACCACGTACCACTCACTGCAGCTGGTACGAAGCAGTGAGCAGGACGGATGAGGCCGTGCAGGAGAGGCTGTTTAGGTCTACGTGGCTCTCCCACATCTCTCCCTGGGGTGGGCAGAGTAGGCAGCTTGAGGCCTTCAGCCACACTGTGCAGGGCCAGGGCTCTTCCTTCCCCCAGGGCTCTGGAGTCTGCTCAAGGCTGCCCACCTCCACCGCAGTCCCCCTCTCTTCCCCTTACCCAGAGCCAGGAAGTGGGAACCACCCACAGGGTGTGAAGCACAATGGCCTGGGAGCCTCATCCCCCTCTCTTCCCACAGTGGACTGGTTTCCCATCTTCCGAGACCTGGTCAACATCGGCCTGAAAGCCTTTGCCTTCTGCATGGCCACCTCACTGACCCTACTGACAGTGGCCGCCGGTTGGCTCTTCTACCGGCCCTGGTGGGCACTCCTCTTCGGCTGCCTGGCCCTGGTGCCCATCCTCATTGCCCGGACACGGGTGCCTGCCAAAAAGCTGGAGTGAGGGAAGCCCTGGTGTCTACCTGCCCCCTGTGGGAGCCTCGGGGCCCAGGTCGCCCCACACCAGCTCCATCCCTGAACCTCAGGGGCAGACTTGGATTCTTGGATTCTGCTCCCACTGCTCTTCCAAGGGGCATACCCGGCAGTATGCCCATTGGGCTTGGGGTTCACAGGTTTGCCTCTCCTCTTTTCTTGCTGTAAGCAGCTTGGTGAGCATGGCAGCTCAAGGGTGGTGACCCGATAAGCTGGGTGCAGCAATGACACTCCAGTGACCTGCTGACAGCAGGGGTAGCCTCGTCACTCTGCACTTCTCAAGTGCCATGACTGCACAATCCTGTCACATCCTCGAGCCCAGAGGACAGCCTTCAGGGGCACCAGACACACTAAGCGCTCGCCTGGGGTGCAGGTGTGCCCAGACCAGGTCTGTGCATAAAATGCAATCGGGTACTTAACAGTCACTCCAGATGTCACACTGAACAGAAAAGCATGTCTGCTGGCTTTACATCCCTGCAGTCTGGCAGGGCAGGGTCCTTTCATCGGGTGAGACCTCCAAAGCCTTATTTCCTTTTTCCTTTGTTATTTCACTTCTATCCCAAGTCATCAAAGGCCTAAAAAAAGACTAAACCTCCTGAACAGTGGACCTCTGTTATAGATGACAGCCTTGAGTCTGTCGGTTGAGATTAATTCAGAGCACAGGAAGCTGCTGAACTGGGTGTGACTCAGCTGAAGTGAAAGTGTGGTACAAAGCTTTGAGCGGCTTTTGCAACAAAGTGTCAGCAAAGGGATTCACTTTTCCTGCTCCTGACAATGGTTTGAGCTTGTAGTCAGCCATCACAGGAAGGGGCTGGAAGCTCTGTACCAAGTTCGCTCCTCTGTGCTGACCCAGCCAGTCACATCTGAGAGCAAGAGGGCAAGGGTTGGTGCAGGAAGCCATCTGCCTTACGTGCCTTTCATCCTGGGAGCGCCGGGCTTCAACTGGCTGCTTCTGCATGATTCTTTTGGGTGTTTAGCATCCATCGCTTGACTTGTCCTAAATAAAACTAACCCACACTCAAGTCACAGTTCCCAAGCTTTTCAGCTCCCTCTTAAGGTTGTTAACCTTGATGGTTTAACCATATGTTTTACAGTCTGTCTTGTATGCTAGTGAGCTGTTTTGCCCTTGCCGGGAGTGGTTGCTTGGGCAAGTGCTTGGTAGCTTCCCCAGGAGGAGAACCTCTAAGGGTGGTGCTCTGTAGAACTCTCCCCCTGTCCCACTGTCTGCACTGTGCACAGGGATTCTTCACGTTACAGCCAGCACCTGAGGGGAGTTCTCTGGGCTTAGGACTGAAAGAGAAATATTGTCCACGACTGCTTAGCAAATCACTACTTTCAACACATGCTTTTGGGAAACAGGCAGTACAATTAGATGATGACTAAATATGAAGAAAATTTTTCTTATATGGATTTAAAGTGCCAATTTCAAAAGTGCAGCAAAAAAAGTGTTGAGTAATTTGAAGGTTTTGGGAAACCACAAGATTTGTATTTTTATCTTTGTATTTTTGTAAAAATGCAAAATAAATTTTCAGTATCTCTTGGTATGACTTTACCATTTTCCTGGTTTCGGTGGGCCGTCAATTTTATTAAGAAGTGTATGAATCTCTGTAACTCACTTCTAAGTTGCTCTGCAAGATTAAGACAGGTGTCAGTTTAACACCCGAGCACTCTGGGCACTGGGGAGCCTGCTGGTTGTGGCTGTTGACAGTGCATGACTCATGCTCCAGGCACCTTTAGAATGTGCTCGGAGATGCACGGGTGGAGGGGCAAGCTCTTGGCTGGCACAGACCTGAGTTTCAAGCCCCACATTGGTCAGTTTGGCTCATGATGTCTGGCGAATTGGAGATCTCTGGGCCTGTTTCCTCATCTGTAAACTGGGGACAGTACCTACCTCATGAGGTTGTGAAGACTAAAGATTAAGCCCGTAAAATGCCTGACACGTGGCGCTTCCACTCCTTTTGCTTTAGTGGTCAGGAAGTAGGGGCTGCTGCTATCCACCCTGATGCCAGCAGTTAAATCACTTGCTTTAGCTACAAGCGTGGGAGAACTTTCTAAAGCCTACTCCTAAGTTTCTCAAGACAGACCTACTTCATTTCATCTCCATAATGCCTCCCAGAAGCTGACCTTGCCTGAAGAGGTTATTTCTAGAGGTTATTTCTCCAGACTGGGCAGTAGCCTCATCTGAGAACAGAACACAAGCACCCACCCCTAGGAGGTGGCTCAGGCATGCTTGTGTGGAAATGCAGTCTCCATAGCAACCCGGCCTGTTTCCACCACACAGCCAGCAGTGCTCTCTGGCTGCTGAGTCACACCCAGGGTTTTGTTTGTCCCTTGGATAAAAGTGACTCAATGTTGTAGTTAAAGATGCCTCTCAAAGATTAACATCATCTTGCTTAAGAAAAAAAAAACTTCCAGGTGTGTATAATGAGCTCCTGGCCCATGTGAAAACAAAACCTCATCTTTTCTGTCAACATGCTCTTGTTGGTGTTCTTGGAAAAATCTGGAAAAAAACCCTCCATACGCCTAAGTAAAATAAATCAGATACATATGTTTGAGTGCCACATTGTTTGTCTGGCATGAGAAACCAAAAGTGGAAGTAAGGACTGAAATGTATAATAGATATTGGGAAATGGGAAGAAAGTGTTCAAATGGGAAGGGGAACAAGGAGGAGGGAAGGGGAACAGGGAGGAGGGAAGGAGAAAGGAAAGAAGGGATAAGAAAAAAAGTGAAAATAGAAGGAAAAATGGAAACAAAGCTTTTGTACACAGGGAAGGAGGGGAGAGGCCTTGGGGGGAAACGGGATAAAATAAAACTTATTTTAAAAAAAAAGGCCTGAGTTCGATCCCCGGTACCAAAAACAAAAGTAGAGGCAAGTCTTTAGATAAATGCTTTATTTTTTTCTCAAAATGTTATAAAAGTTATTTCTCTTGAGCACACAAGAGTTTTGTAAATGTATCCAGTAATGAATAAAATCTACTTGAACACTGATCCACTTTTACTAACATTTCTTTAATGCTCCATTACTGTTTTTCTTTTCTGTGTTTAGCTCTTTGTCCTAGTCGTCTGCCACAACAAAACGTGACTTTGGGAAACACATGATCTCAGGTTGCCTGTACTTTCTCACTTTCCCGTCTTCTACAAAGAGGCAGTGCGTGGTAGTAAGAACCTGACTCCGGGATGAAACGGCCTGTAGAGAAGGACCCTACGGCCCAAGAGAGGCTAGGGCACAGGGTCTGGTGGGTGTACCTCTACCTGCAAATTTCCTAGTGCTCTCTGTTAAAGAAAAACTGACCTCGTCTCCAAAGATGGGAAGAACAGGGCTCCCAGGGCAGTGTCCCCTGCTCAGAGGGCTTTGGTAAGCAGCCCTGGGGGAACCCACCTGCAGCGTGACCTCAGCCTGGCCTATGTCTGTCCACCTTCCGGAAGTAGGCACACAGGTCACAACTTCTCGAATGGGAACAAGTGGCTGGCAGACTCCTTCTTTGCCCTTCTGGTCTTCCTTGGCTTCTGCTCTTCCTCAGCTTCTCGGTTCTGAGGCCAAGAGGCAACCAGGACCCTGGCCGCCTCTGCTTGCGAGCTGGTCCCCTCCTCGTTGTCGGACAGCCCACCTCCTGCACCCGTGTGCGGAGCTGCTGCATCACTCTGGAGGGGCCAAGCAAGAGAGAGGCACAGTCACCAGGCAGCTCCTAGGACATGCCTTCAGGAAGCTGCAAAGTTCCCAACCACTGCCACCGGTGCTTTCCCTGTGACCTCAAGTGTAGACACAGTGGTTATGTCTGGGACTGCCCAGACACATAGTGCCAAAGGAGCTGAGGCAGCACCCCTGAAGGCAGGGACAGCTGGGTAGGGTCACAGCAGGTGGCAGCCAGAAGCCCATGAGACATAAAGCCAGACTCGGGGTTCCAGTGAAGAACAGGACAAATACTTCCTAAGGGTAGACAGAGTGGGTTGAGGTGGGGCCAGAACATCGCAGGGCACTTCTGCTGGGTTCCACGTCACTGCCTTGGGACCTGCCTGTCCCAGCGATCCCTTGAGGGCTGTCACATTCATACCCGTGTGTGCAGCCTGGCCTGCCACATACAGGCGCTGTGAGAAGTGACCTGAATAGGGACACAAGGCCTGAGGGTGGCTGCAGGCACAGGGAGCCCAGAGCTAAGAGTGAAGCTGTCTATGCCGCGCTGTCAGCAGGACCTGGGCAGTGACTGTCCCAGGCCTGTTCCTCTGCAAAGGCTGCACACTGACCTGGGCACTGTAGCGCATTCGCAGCCTCTCCCTGATGAGCAGTCCCCGGGCCAGCAGCTTCCAGTTCCCCAGGGCCCGCTTCTCACGTCTCTGCAGCAGGAAGTATCAGGATAGAGCCCAAGAATGTGTACAGACAGCCATGCAGATTCAGTTGGGAAGATGCGGTCTCAGTCACACCACATCGCATTTTTTTAAAAATGGTGTGATTCAGATAATACTTGAAAGCCACCAATATAAAACCTATTTTTAGTGGATGGGGTCAACTAGGACCTGGACTGAAGGAGAGAGCAGGGGCTGCAGTCCCCGGAGTGGAGGCCCAGGCCGGCAGGCGACAGTGACCATGGAGGGGTGGGGCTGTCCAGGAGGCCAGGGTGGGGGGTTTGGAGAGACTGCAGGGCACATGGCCTCTGCCTCCTCGTCTCCCTGGTGTAAGAGTTCTCAGGGAGGGAAGAGCATTCCTGGGTCCTCCCAACCAGTCCTCCTCCTCTCCCTGGTCATACACCAGCCCTATCCTCCCGACTGCTCCCCCCCACTCACCTCCTTCTCCTTCTTCTCAATGAGGGCCTGCTCATTCTCCCAGGCAGTGAGGAGCACATCTCTGAATTCCTCGCAGACAACATAGCCATTGGTTCTGTGGGCCATGACAGGATGACCTCAGCAGAGCCTGCTGCCTGCCTGTCTAACCCTCCCCTCCTTGGGACAGGGGACCCTTCTGAGCACTCGGTGCCCTCATGGGTGTACTGGGCAGACCGAGGACAGCCAACCTGGCAGGACCAGGCTTAGGGGGCCAATACCACCTCTCCCCCGCATCTTGCCTGAGAGCCAGACAGGCCTCATCTGCAGCACTGCCCCACAGGACAGAACTTAGAAACCAGGAAAGACACGGTCCCTGCTTTGGTCACCACCTGTGACCACCTAAGGAAGAATTTGCATCCAGCGTTCCTAGGGCATTGGCTTCACTACTGTTACGACTCTGGATGGGAGCCAGGGTTGGTCAAGGGCTACAGCTGCCTTTACTTCTTAGAAGCCTGTTTTCAGGTCAGGAGCCCCCGGCCCCAGCCCTCACGCACACAGCATGGCAGTAGCCACCATGGAAGTCGAAGCCTGTGACGGCCGGGGCACAGTCAATGTCCAGCTTGCGGGCCACGCGATGCAGATTGGGCAGGTGCAGCTGCACACAGCCGACGGGCATCATGCTAGGCAGGAAAAGGTACACGTTCCCAAACTCGTTCCGTGGCACCTGGGAGGGACAGTGGGATGTGGCCAGCTGTGCAGAGTGGGCCCGGTCCCCACCCCTCTGACGTGTCCTACCTTCCCATCCACAGCCACAGGGGGCTGGTACTCCTCAGTCTGCCAGTGGCCAAACAGGCCCAGGTCATTCTGGTCCCGCAGCTGGGGGTCAGCGAGCCGGGCTTTGCGGGCGCGGTTGGAGTAGCCTTTCACCATCTGCCCAAGTACACCGAAGCCACGGTTCACTAGGAGGGTCTGGGTCCCGACACCCATTGTCACCAGACCTGATCACCTCACTCAACCCTGGTGACATGTGAGAGGGGCGGCACTTGCCCACTATGGTCTCTAGCACTGGCCAACAGACACTGACAGAGTGCTGTTTTCAACAAACCAACAGGTCAGGTCAACCGCACAGGGTGAAGACCGCCCTGGAGTCACAGCCTGCATAGCAGGCATGCTCACTGCTGAGGGACAAGGGTGGATCAGCAGTCACACGCTCAAGGAATCAGGACCTGCACGTGACAGAGCCAGGATTCACAACCAGGAGCCACCTAGCTGTCCGACTGGAGAGCTGGTCTCTCCCACCAACCCCATACTGCTTGGGACCCCAGCTTGCTTCCCAGCAGATGTAGGGGTGAAGCCTGGTACCTGGGCCTGTTACAAGCTTCCTCCTCTGCAAGGGTCGGCAAGCTTTCCTGGTGAAGGGTGACATGGAAGCTCTGTCATAGTCTGCATTCTTTGCCTGTACAACCTTTTCACATTAGCCCACTCTGAGATCAGATCAGAGCCCTGGTGCAGGCAGGACCTGGCTGGGAGGGCCCTGTGACCTATTAGGTGGGGGAGCCAAATTCTGAGGAACCTCTCATCCACTGAGTGCCCCAGACACACCATGCCATGCCAGCTGAGTGACAGAAGAAGGTATGAGGAACATGGGGCAGACAGGGCCTGGCATGGAGAAGGCAGGTGCTCCAGCCTCACTAGTGCCCCATGTGGAGGATGCGTGTGGCCTGCAGTCTACAGGCTACAGCCGCAGGGCAGGCGCCCACAGGGCAGGCTGTGCAGGTGGTGTCAGAGAGATCAGAATAACTGCAGTACAGGGAACAGACATGCGGGGCAGGGGCTGTTATCTAAGTCAGAGGACAAGGCAGGAACCCGGACAAGGAGTCACAACAAAGGGTGGATCTGAGCGATGGGTTTATTCTGGAGCTGTCTGTGATGACAGCTGCAGGCACATGGGGCTTACTAGTGAGCAGCATGACCAGAGTGCACTGAGGGACTGATAGCCACATGCAGACAGGATCACAAGTATTTAATATGAGCAAACATATTTAAAATAACTCAGTCACCTTTTACAACACTTCCTAGACGCTGAGTCCTAACATTCAGAACTACACTAGCCTAGGTGACGAGATCTCTGCTCCTGAGTGTGGCGCCTGCTGCACAATGCAGAGTGGCTGGCGGGGATGTGGAGGAGTGAGAGTCTCAGGTGCAGGAGGCGGCACCACACACTTGGCAATGTCCCCCTCCCAGACTGAGGCCCTCTGCCCCCAACTCCCCAGTGCCACACAGCCCCAGAGGAGAGGACACATGTCTCTGGGACCAGTCACCACCCTGTGGCTTGACTGAGCCTAGTGTCCTGAGAAATAACTGCGGCACCACTAAAGTGTCTCATAGGCTGCTGACCTAACAGGCTGCAGCACTCCGAGGGGGACGGATGCCTGCTGGGCTCTGTCACTGAGGCCTGGACAATCATTTTCCCTTCCTGAGCTCTGGTCTCTGCATCAGGATCCCAGGCCTCCGGTGCTGAGACCCGAGATCATGCACATGCAAATGAATGGGGATATGGGAGCACCTGCCTGGGGTTTGTCTGTGTAGCAGGCATGAGCCTCTCACAGCTACCTAGTACCACAGTGCCACCTGCTCACAGTTACACTCTAGTCTCCATTTCTTGCATGTTTTGGGAGAAACATTTCTACAAGTCCTTCATTCATAAGATCATTTAAATGCTTGGCTCCTCCTCAAATCCTGCTTCAGCTAAAGCAAGGCACTGCTGGCTCCCTGTCACTGGCGTGTCCCCACAGCCCCTGGCACCCTCCCTGCCCCACTCTGCCACCCGGCTGCAGTGCCGTTACCTTGTAGGGCACCTCGCCGAGCCGCACCACTCTTGCCTGTTTCAGCCATGTGTCCCTGGAGTGCAGGGTGTGCACACAATCCCTGCAGGGGTCAACACAGGAGATGAAGGACGAACTCAGCCCACACTGAGCCTGTGGGCAAGCAGGACCTCCTGCCTCCTGTGACTTGTGGCAGAGGGGAGAGTACAGACCTGATGACCCCTCCCCAGTTTTGCCTCGCATCCAAGGACAGGCCCTACTCCTAACATACCCGGAGGAGCTGTGTCCACTACAGCACCCACCCTGTGTGGAGCTCCTCTGTGCCTGTCCCTATCCTTGACCTGTCACCTGGGATCCCCAGTGAGAGCTCCCTCTGTAGCCTGTTGCGGGGAGGAAAACTCACCCCCCAGCAGTGCCCACTGAGGTTCTGATCTGCTGCTAACCACCATGCCAGGGACATCTGGCAGGGGTAAAAGATGCAGACATTCACTCTGACAGGCTAACGAACCGCCACAGGATGAAGACGCATGCACACGGAGCAGGCCAAGAATGACTGGTGGCCACAGTGATGACAGGCAGAGGCCCTGACTGGCTCCCTCTCCTGAGCTAAGAGCTATGCTGCAGCCCTACAACTCTATTCTGTATTGGGGCTCTGCTCTGCCATGCCAGGCCTACCTCTTCCTCTGCATCCTTCCCTCCTGGGGGAGGCACTCATCAAGCAAAGGGTCGAATCCTTAGAGTGCAGACACAGCTGGCCCACCCAGCAGCTGGGGAGATACGCAGTACCTCATGGTGGGCAGGATGGAATCTGGTTTTCACTTCCTCCCACTGGGTGACCCTCCAGAGCCTCCTCTTATCCTCACTGACCAACGAGGGCTAAAGAGCCCCGTTCTTTCCACCTCCCATGGTCCCAGAACTTGATGCTTCCCAAAGGTCGAGTCAGACCTCTCCATCAACACCCATTCCTGTGTCTGTGTGTGAAAGCTCCATCCCGTGCTGCCCTAGCCTGAATGTCCCAAAGGACTGGTGAAGCCATAGTCATGGTCCCCAGATAGGAGGAAGAGGGCAGGGCAGGTCCGACAGGCGGGCAGCCTCCACATTGCTGAGGAACACAGGACAGGGACACAGCCCTCTCAGAACCAATGTCCACATCTGGCCCCTTCACACCTGGCAGAATGGCTATACAAACAAGCAAGAGTCAGCGAGGGTGAGGAGGTGGGGAAATGAGCTATGCGCACACGATGGGAGGTGGCAGAGCAGTTCCTCAAAACACGAAACTGAGCCACCTCTGACCTGGCAGTTCTACTTTGGGTACCATATATTCCCAAAAGAACTGAAAGGAGGGACTCCAACAACATTCACACCAGCGCTATTCACAGCAGCCCAAAGGTGGAAAGAACCAAGGGTCACCACGGATGAGTAAACAGTGTGATCTACTGGTATGTCCAGCCTCAGGGAGGAAGCAAACTTCGACACAAGCTACAACACAGACGGAACTTGGAAGAAACAGCTGGCTGCTCTGGGAGTCCACGTAGGAGGCCCCTGGGGCAGTCAAGCTCAGACCAGAGCGGACTGACGGGAGCAGAGGATGGGATGGGAGCAATGCAGTCAGGGTTGAGTTTGGGAAGACAATGACCTTCTGGTGATGGCAGTGCCGGCTGCACACATGAATGCGCTCAGTGCCACTGAGCTGTACATTGTAAAAACGGTGAAACCTAAATTTTATGCTGTGTTTTGTAACAGTAATAAATCACCGTCTGCCCCAATGTGCTCTCCTGACTTCTAGCTATTTCTCAAAATTCCTCCATCTATTTTTATATACACTTATCTCAAAATTATATTAACATTTTTCAATTTTAATTTTGTATGTATTTTTAACACCCCCCCACACACTACTGGGGATTGAATCCAGGGCCCTTGCACTGAGCTACATCTCCAGACTTTTTTTCATTTTTTATTTTGAGACAGGTTCTTCCTAAACTTATGGGCCTAAACTTATGATCCTCCTGCCTCAGCCTTCCTAGAGTGCTGGCATTACAGGTGTTTACCACAATACCCAACTTCTTTTTTTCTTACTCCTCTTTGTTTCGGTGATTATTTTTCTCCGTGGTGTAACCATTTTTAAGTGTTCAGTTCAAGGCCAAATATACTGGCAGCGCTGTACAAGCATCAGAATGGTCTGTTTCCAGAACTTTTCATCAGTCCCAACAGCCATTAAAACACAGACTCATTCCAACCACTTAACAGTTTGCCCTGAGCATCACTCGGGCAGCGTGTTTATGTACTGACTATCCTGAGTGTTACTCAGACAGGTGTCATTTCAACCAGTCAAATCTTGTTTGCATGAGATATACTAGCACTTGTTGTTTTTATATTACCTGTTATCTTATAAAACGAAAAAAATGCAATTTTTGGTCATCTTGTATTTAAATAATTGGACTGTTAAGTGGTTAACTTTTGTGATCAAATTTGTAACTCCTTCCTTTTGGTATGTTAAGTTATATTTGATGGTGTGTTTTTTGTTGTCGTAAATTCTACCTGTCCTACTTTGTCTTTGGCAGTGCTAGCATGAAGCCCAGGGCCTTGTGCATACCCAGCCCTACTTGTCCCACCTTCCATCTGTACCATGTCTTTGCTCTCACCTTCACAGCACACACACGACAGTTTCCCTCGTGAGTGTGGCTGATGATGAGACGAGCCCACATGGGCTGCCCCAGCCCAGGAAGAAGGTGCTGAGCCCCACCAGCCATCAGGAAGCCACAAGGTACGAGGTATGCTGCACAAACCTGGAGTAGACAGCTTCACCACGGCAGTACCCCAGAACTGCTGCCGTCTCTGGGTAGATGGCCTCGTACTTCAGGAGGTGCCGCTTCAGGGCATAGAGAGGGTGGTTCTTATAGGTGCTGATGGCTGAGGGCAGAGGCTGGTCCAGGTGCTTTGCCTGAAACTGAGAAGGCCCAACAGATGGTGCTGAGCAGGCATCAGGATCAGGGGAGCTCTGGGACAATGACCTTATCCCCTACTTGCTCTGACCACATGCGGCAGGGCAAGGTTTCCAAGCACTAATGACTAATGCTGCCCCTGGAGCCCCGGCCATGGGGTTGAGACTAACCAAAAGGTATGAAGAACTAAGTGAATTAAGGAAGTCATCTGACCAATTTCCAATCCTCAGACTCCTTAACCAGCCTGCCAGATGGGCTCTGGCAGAGACTTTAGAGAAAGCAATCCACGTGGGAGTGAAGTGTCTCTCAGTGAAGTCGCCTGTGCCATCACTGTTCCCCCATGCACTCACAGGATGCGGAAATGAGTTCAGCACAACCTCCACGGGGTGCCTGCTATGAGTTTTGCATCTCAGTGGGCAGCCACAACCCTACGACCCACACCTATTCACCAAGCTACCCTGGAAAGCCCAACAGGAATAAAGCCTGGCCTTTGGAGTGAGCAGTCACTGCCACTTGAGGTGAAGTGGGTTAGAAAACCATGCACACAGTTCCTATCTAACCTGCCACTGCAAGTAAGATGACCAGGCCCTGGCACATATGGGGTGAAGTGCACCAACTCAGGCACTGCTATGATAGGCCACTTATGAATGTGCACTCCACCCACACACAGCCACCCTGCACAAGCAGCTCAGGTCCCCGCCTGGGCTGGTGCCAGCTCTCGACCAGTGACACAGTTCTTATGTGCTGAAGTCCTGCTTCCCGATGGGCCCCTTTAACAGACTGACAAGACCTCCTCATTCTGGTCCCTGCCTTCCCAGAAGACAGTGTCTGTAGGTGTGAGGTGTGTCTGTCCATTATGTCTGTGCATGCAGAAAGGCGAAGGGGTAGCCAGATAGTGACAGTCATTCCTTCTTTCACTTGCTATGAGTTACATGACTTCCATAAACTTCTTTTTTCAGTACTGGTGATCAAACCCAGGGGCACTCTATCACTGAGCAACATCCCCAGCCCTTTTTATTTTTTCTTTTAAAACCAGTCTTGTTAAAAAAAAAAACCAGTCTTGTTACGTAGTCTAGGCTGTTCTCAAACTTGCGATCCTCCTGCCTCAGCTGCCCAAATAGCTGGGATTACACATGTGGACCACCACACCTGGCTGACTTGTATGAATTATTTTAAAGTTCCAAATTCATACCTGGGCAATAACTAAAAGCATACAGACTTCAAAGCCACATACAGCTGGGTTCAAATACCTGGCCACTTACTGGCTCAGCTCTGCTAGCATTTTACCAGTAACATTAAGGCAATGATAACACAGCTTTCTAATGTCACTGTGATAACTTCATGAGATAGCACACCAAAATATCCAACTCAGTGCTCAAAACTGGAGACAGTCATAGTGACCTCACTCCATCCTGGAGGCCCTGTGGCCCAAGCCTTACCTCCAAGTCTTCCTTCTTTTCCCTTTCCATGAACGGGCTCCGGTAGGGTCTCAAGGTCTCGTCCCACCACTCAGCATCAACCCGGCACTTGCGGGTAGCTGTCATCCAGGCTGGGTCATACCGCTGAGTGACATCTCGGACCCAGCCATTGCTGTCAATGCCCACGACATAGGTCATGGGCTTGGTGGCGTATCTGTAACAGGCCTGGGGCTGGCCCACCAACCCATGTGCACAGTCCACACACACCCACTTCTCCTCCTTCTCACAGAACACCTCCAGCCATTGGTCTACACCAGCTCCCCTCCCTCCTCCTGCCTCTTCATCATCCTGGGACACTTTCTTGCCTCTCTTACTGCCCGGAGAGCGGGAAGATGCTGGGTGCTGGCGGCGGCTCCCTGGCTGGGTCCTAGAGTCACTCTTGGAGCCAGCCTTCATCCGCTGTGGAGCTGGGGCCCTCCTCTGCCTGCGAGGGGCAGGTTCGGAGTCCTCATCAGAGGAATGATGGGCTTCCCCACTGGAAGGCTCAAAGTCAGAACTGCTGGCGGCCAGGTCACTCTCGCTCTCCTCTTTGTAAGACACCCTGAGGGCCCTGCGCTGGGCCCGGCTGTGCCGAGGCTGCTGCTTGCCGGGCCCAGCCTCCTCGCTCTCACTGGAAGAGGGCTCTCTCTGCTTTGCGCTGCCTGCGGCTGCCTTGCTCCTCTTCCCCTTGGTGACTGCCTTGCCAGGGCCCTTGGGAAAGGCTTCCCGCTCTCTGGTTCCTTTGCTGGTCTGCAGTTTGGGCTGGTTTTCTGCAGCTTGACTGGAAGTTCCTGGGGCATCTCCAGGATCCTCTGTGGCTCTCTCCTGAGGGGGTTTCTTTCCCTTAAGCAAAAAACAAACTATTTTTTCTTCCTTTTTCTGCTAATCATATGACATCCTGTAATTTAACCAGGGGTAAGTGACAGGCTAGAGAATCAGTATCCCAAGCTGCCCCCAGCTCACACAGGCTCTGCTGGCTCCCCTGTAGGTTAGGGTCAGGTATGCACCCACTGAAATCTATTACCCTTCAGCTGAGGCCACAATACTGTTCCTTTCATACTAATTCTGGAGCAGAGAAATGAGCAAAGGATTCAGAAACAGACAAATCTGAGTTTGAATTCCTGTTCTATCTCATTTGTTACTGACTTAAGCAAGTTATTTACCTTCTCAGCCTCGACTTCCCCAGCAATAAGAATACTCATCTTGCACATGTGCATTATGCATACAAAAACTTAGGAATTTACCTCAGCTGTGGTTTTAAAAATATAGCAATTACTAAATCAACCTCTGGGGCTGGGGATTTAACTCAGTGGTTCCGCCACCTGCCTCGCAAGCACAAGGTCTTGAGTTAATCCCCGGTACCAGAAAAAAAAACCAACCTCTGCACTGTAGGGCTTCAGACCATGCCCACCTGAATGAGATGGTACTGGGCCTCCTTCCTGGAGCACCTTCAAATCCAGAGTTCCCCCTATTCATTCTACCCTGCTGATGAGGATGGGGCAACTGTGCCAGCTCACAGAACAGAACCACAGGACTCACAGCCAGGCTTCCTGTGGGCCATGGTGCACAGCCAAGCTTGGGGTACTGCATACCTGCTCATGTCTGCAGCCCTCTCTACCACAGCAAAGGAGCGAGGCTGGTTCCATGAATGCAGCTCTTAAAAATAAATACCCTTGAAAACATGGCAGCAACCAAATACTTTTTAAGCTTCACAATTTTTTACTGTTTCCTGATCAACTGCCCTTTTCTTGGAAGCCCCGAGAGCCTCACCTTGACCATGGAGGACTTCAGAGGAAGGGGCTGCAAAGATAGCACCAGTCGGGTCAGGAGCTGCAGGGCACGCAGAATCAGCAGGAACACCTGTGAGGACAAGTGCAGCAAATCCATCCCAAGAAAACAGGGAAGGGGTTACTTAATTCAAAGCTGCTGGCTGCTTGTTAGCAACAGGGAAACAGAAACGGTAGAAACAACCAAACTGTCTCGACCATCAGACATGGGAACTTTGACACTGTTAGAAATGATGCTCACTGATTATCGTCATAGAAAAATGGAAACCGTTCACCATATTCTAAAGGAAAAGAGAGGTTTAAAAAAGTTGGATGTGATCATAACTTTGTAAGAAAAATCATATATGAATACAGACATGTATATTTGAAAAAGGATCCATATGCTATGTTATGGGTGTTTATAGGGATATTTTTTCCTCTGGGTATCTATCTTTTGATTGTTCTGTATTCAACATGTAATTAAAAGAAAATACAATGAAATACCACATTAGAGGGAAAGGTAGGAAATATCATCAGACCATGTGTGTGCTCTGTTTTCCACTTTTCTGACAGTCATCCTTTCACCTGGAAGCTAGCTGTAAAGACAGGAGCCTCCTCAGGTCTGGACCTCCACACAGCAACAGGGATAATGTGCTCGAGCAGGGCTCCCCACATAGGTCCATCCACTCTCATCACTTACTCTGTGTAATGGCTTTGATCTAAAATGTCCCCCCAAGCCTCCTGTGTTTAGAGGGTGATTGGACCACAGGGGCACATCCATGATGAGGTAATGGCTGAATGCGGTGTTAGGAGGTGGGGCCTGGTTAGAGGTTGTCACTAGGCATGTGACCTGGGAGGCTGTGTTCTTGTCCCTGCTCTTCCCTTCCCTCTCTGCTTCCTGGCTGCCATGGGTTGAACACCTTCTCCTCTACCAGGGCCCTGTGCCTTGGAGCCAGCTGACCATGGGCTGAGACCATGAACCAAATAAACCTCCTTCTTTAAGTTTCAGGAGTTTCGTCTCAGCCACAGGAAAGGTGATATACTATGATACCTTGGAGAGAAAGTTAGAGGTGAAAATCAGAAACAGGAAGGCAGGTTAGAAGCTATGTCATCATTCAGAAACAATTATTTTTGGTTGTTTCTTCTGGGGTCACAAAGGCCATGAAAGGAAAAACCAAAAAAGCATCACAACTGAAGTGACACATCCACTACATACAACACATGTCCTGAAACAGAAAAGGGACATCACTGGGAAACATGCGCCATCTAAGTGACATCTAAGTGCTACTGTCACACCAACAGTAATGTCTCAACTTCTCAGAGCACAGCCTGGCACAAGAGCACCGGTTAAGAGTCTGGATAGCTGAGTGTCAGCTACCAGCTGAATGAGACAGACTGCTTCACCTATAATAATCCTTGCCCTGTCTTCCTCCCAGAACTATGAGGAGGACATAAGAGAACGGGTGTGACAGTGCTCCGGCAACAGTCTGCTGCTGCCCAAGCACTGACAGTCACTACCTCTGACAAGCACTCTACCAGTGTGCACTGCAGAGGAGACAAAAATCAGTTTATGAAACCATACAATCCCTTTACTGACAAATGTGATAATCTAAGATGAAATGGAGAAATTCCTAGATGCATGCCAATTTCCAAACCTGTCTCAAGAAGAAACAGAAATCTGAACAATGATCTGTTTGACATCTGTTCAGAATTATGATCCAGGCACCCAGTTTGGACTTACAACCTGCTGCTCGGACTTACAACTTGTCTTTTCTTTTCTGGTACAGTTGTGTACATCTTGTTTATGAAGCCTCGATGTCTTTTTTTTGTACAGTATACCTTGTTAATAAAGTACTGTAATCTTTGCTGATTGTACTGCACAGTACAGTACTGTAGTTTTATGTTCTCTTATACACTGTAGTACTGCATGGAAGAGTTATACAAATGAAAGCAAAGTTGGGGTTTCCTTTGACCATTTTTTTGTTCTGAATATTATAATGTAAACACTATATACAATTCCTAATTCAACAACCAATTCATTTAACGACAGGCACAGGACACTCGGTCATCAAACAAGGATTATCTACACCGGCCAGATGGCAAAGCTGCCCAGATCAGTCCTCAGACTCAATCCAATCAGTATCAAAACTCCATTGGCTGTTATCACAAAAATGGAAATGCAGACCATCAAACTCATGTGGAACTGCAAAGGACCCCAACAGCCAAAGTAGCATTGACCATGAAGAATAAAACTTACTAATCAAAGGTACAATATCAAAACAGTACAATGCTGTCATGAGAAAGAGTGAATACCAATGGAACAGAATTCAGAGGACAGACAGGAACCCAGCTGATTTTCAACAAGAGTGCCAAAAGCATCTATCCCACTGAGAAACTAGTCTCTGTTACCAACTGTCTTAGTTACATTTCTCGTTGCTGAGACAAAACACCCAACACTCAAAGTTAAAGGAAGAAAGGTTTATTGTAGCTCACATTTTTGTAGAGGTTTCAGTTCACAGAGGGCTGGCTCCAAAAAAGGGCGGCATGGCAGAGGAGCATTACAGAGAAACAGTTCATGGCAGGCAGAAGGCAGCAAAGCAGCAAAGAAGTGAGGGAGCAGCAGCAGCAAGCAATGATCCTTGCTTAGGGTGGGTAACACATATACCCAGGGTGGGGTACCCTTAATTCTACCCAGAACTATGCCAAACCAATTAGTGGACTAACTTAGTAATCACATACCCCCAATCCCAGCATCACACACTCTAGATCTAGCCACCTCTGAAAAGTCCCACCTATGACCACATGAGGCTTTGGGGGGACATCTAGACACAAGCTATAACACCAACCATGAAAACAATACAGCCAACAGTCAAAACAGTGGTCTATTCAACAGACAGTGTTGGGACAATTGGATGTCCACTTCCGAAAGAATGTCTCAGAAGAAAATACAAGTGTTAATCTTCACAACTTTGGATTTGGCAGTGAATTCTTAGATATGACACCAAAAGCACAAATGACAAAATGAAAAGTATGTAAGTCAGACTTTGTCAAAACAAAAGCCTCTCATGTATCAAAGAGCTTCATGAAAGGCAACCTCCAGAATGGGAGGAGACATCTGCAAAGCAGTGACAGGGACTGTATAAGGAACTCTTGGACTTCAGTAAGTTGGCAACCTAGCTTGAAAGTGGCAAGATTACAGAGAAATCTCTCCACAGGAGATACACGGCTGAGAGCCCACAAAAGACACACATCATCAGTCATGGAAATGCAAATCAAAATTGTACTGACATACCCCAACACCCACTAGAATGGCTGTAACCAAAAATGCAGAAGGTAAAGAGTGTGGTGAGGATCTGGTGGATGGGAACCCTTGCTCACTGCTGGTGGGGCAGTAAAATGGGGCAGCAGTTGCAGGAAACAGCATGGCGGTTCCTCAGAAAGTTAAACAGACAATGTGTCATGTGGCCCAGCATATCTCAGGTATATTCCCAAACGAACTGAAAGTAGAGACTCAAATAAGCATATGTACAGACATGCACTCTTCACAACAGCAAGAGGTCGAAACCACCTAAGGTGGCCACAAATGGATAAACAAAATGCAATATATATACACAATGAAATGTTACTCAGCCATGAACAGGAATGAAATACTGACAATGCAGATGAACCCTGAAACCATTATGCAAAGTGAAAGACAAAAAGCCACATGTTGTATAATTTCTTTTATATGAAATATCCAGCTTAGGAAATCCAGAGACAGAGAGTAGACTGGCTGGTGCTTGTCACACGAGGTGGAAGGAAAGAGATGGTAACAAAGTTGTTTCATGGGTATACACCGGGTTTCCCTTGGGGTGATACAAATGTTCTGGAGACAGACAGAGGTGGGGGTTGCACAATTCTGACTATACTAAATGGTCACTAAATTTGCTCACTTTTCAAAAACCTGTAAGATCCCATTTGTGCTTTAAAAAAAACCCAAGAAAACAAGTAACATATGTACATAAATAAATAGGAATAAACTCGAGAGGTCAACCCTAAATCTTAATGGTTTCCTCTGGGTGGTGGTATCACAGCACTGATGAGTGGCCTTGCAGATATCTTAGACTCCTCAAAGCTGAGTCAGGAGAAGACCAAGACACCAGTCATTTGACCCTGACACACATAAGTCTGGTCTCTGTCCCTAAGCAGGAAAATCAGGGGCTCCCAAATCTAAGTACACAAGTCAAATGGATCTCACCCTGATGACACCAATTTTCACTACCATTACTTAATAGTTTTGCCCAAGGGGTCACTTACATGGACCAACTCTTCCTCATCTCGTGCAGAATAAATAGCGAATCTCCTTTCTAGTGTGGTCTGCAGGCTACTTTGATCGGGTGCTGAAAGGTCCGCATTAACAGTAAATGTTCCGATGAACCTGGGGAGAAATCAGGCATTCCCTGTGCAGCGGTGAAGGTGAAGGGAAGTTCTGTTCTTTCACAGTCAAGACAACCAAAGTGGGAGGGGGGGGGTCAGGGCGGGCCTGCCTGAGCTCTGCTCCTCAGAGCCTGTGGGGTTAATCACTATCGGCTTTGAAATACCAGGCATCACCTGCTGGGGCGCCTCTCTAACCTCTCACTTGAGACCAGGGCTCCGAATCCACATACCTCGCCTGCCCCTCCTCCTCTGTGCACTCCAGTGCCTGGGCTCTCCTCTTTTCTTGTGGTGCCCCTGCATGAGGCCCTCTCCCTGCCTTGAGCCCTTGGGCCAAGTGCCCCCAACACCCCAGCTCTGTGTCAGGCACAGGGCCTTACCACTTCAGCAGGCTGGAGAGGTAACCTGAATCCACGTCTTGAGGAAGCACCCTCGTGAAGTGAGCTGGGATGATGGAGAGGCCAACGGCCAGCAGGTCTGGCTGGCTGCAGACACCATTTCGATAGAAGCCATTTCCCAGCAGGCACAGTAGGTGAACCTGCAGGGGGAAAGGACAGAAGGAAGGCTGAGAACTAGCTGAGGCCATGTCACCACATGAGAGTTTTGCAGGCAGGAAGTACTTAGTGCCACAAAAGGAAGTAAAAACACCAGCAGGAGCCATTGTCCAAGACTGTACCTCCAACCTCTCCTCTCCATGTACTTATTCCCTCAAAAAAAATCATCTAATTCCAAGCTTGAAATACACACTTTTCCTCAGGAGACCTTGCCTTAAAGACATGGTCTGAAGGATTGCTAGAGGAAATAATCAGTGTCAGGGGCTGCTCCTGCGAAGTCAGGAGGAGAGGGAGTGGGGAGAGAGCAGGATGCTCAGGAGCAATGGAGCTGGGGAAGCGGGGGGGCTCAATGACACTGTCTCTACCTTGGGGTGCATCTGACCACCTCCTCTGCCACACACCTTGTGCCTCTGTCCCCTCCTCACCACCACTCCATCCTGCCTCAACCTACTGAAATGATTCTACAGCTGTCTTCCCCTTCCCATAACCACCTTATGTCATTTTCCTGTCAAAATCAGTCCTCCTTCTCCCTTACAGTCTCCTATTCTCACTAATGGTGCTGCCTTCTTTTCCTCACCTAAGCTTCAATCCTCAGTCATCTTGATTCTTCTTCCTTCCCTCTCTGGCCCCACCATGAGGTGACAGAAAATACAGCCATCACATTTAATCCCAGGCTCTGGGAGTGGGCATCTCACTCCATCGAATCTGTGCAGCTGGGCATTTGGCATCTCCCCAACCTGTCCCTGCCCTCCCTTTCCTAGCAGACCCCTGGATGTCTTCCTACACTTCCACCTTGCTTGTACACAAACCTTCCTCAGCACCTCAGACCTGCAATCAGCTTTCCACCACTGAGCACCATCCCCAGCTCCTGTTCTGAAGTCCTCTCACTCACACGCTAAGCCCACAGCCTCCATACTATAGGAAATGCACTTTTTGCAGGCTGCACATCCTTTATTTGACACACCTGGGCCACAAGTTTTTCAGGTCTGAGATTTCTTTCAAATTTTGGAATATCTGAATAGACCCTGACCAGCTGAGCATCTCTAATCCCAAAACCAAAAGTCAAAATGGTGCAAAATCCCAAAATTCTGAGGCTCAAAAAGTTTAGTTGTTTATGAATTGGGCATGATGGTGTTGCTTATGATACCAATATCCAGGAGGCTGAGGCAGGAGGATCACCATGAATTTGAAGCCAGCATGGGTTACACAGTGAGTTCAAGGCCAGCCTGAACCACATAGTGAGACTTTGTCTCAAAAAAACAAAAGAAACTTTTCAATTGTGCAACATTTTAGACTTTGGATTTTTGGACCGGGGCTGTTCAACCTGTGCAGTTCTCCTTCCCCACAAAGCTACATAACACCCTTGGTAGGTCTGTGTGCAAGTTCAGTACCATCAGGGGGCACAAACACAGATTTTCACTGCACTCAAAACCAACGTTACTAAATGGTTGGAACAGGTGATGGGAGGTGAGTACCTGCTCACTGACAAGCCCTGCTGCTTCTCAGGCTCTGCGCTACAAGTTACTTTAAACGTAATGTTGCCTAATTCTCATAGCACTCTCCAAAGTGGACAGCGTTATCACCTCCTGCTTCACAGGTAAGAAGACAAAAGGCTGAAAGTGAATGAGACGCGTGTAACAGAGGGCTGGGGATGCAGCACAATGTGAAGGTCTTGGGTTCAATCCTCAATTTAAAAATAAAAGAAAAAGAAAAAAGCTACTTGCCAAGGTGGCCTTGCAAGCAGCAGAGCCAGAAATAAAGCCTAGGCTCAAACTGACTGAGAACCTTTCTGTGCACCTTAGAAAAATACTGTCCTTCCTTCCCTTTCCTTCCCTGTCCTTACCTTGTGTGTGTTCTCGCGGACTTCCCTACTGAAACGTTTCATCATCCTCCGAAGACAGGTCTCAAACTCCATTTTTATCTTCTCACTGCAAGGCAGAGTGAGAACTTGAGAATGAAGTGGAGGAGTAAGCCGGCACCCAGGTCCCTAGTCATTTCTTCTGCGCACTGTGACACATGAGGCTGTACCCTGCTTTCCTGCCAAGACTGCGCTACCCAAGCAAACGTGAACGTCCTTCTCACCTGCAAACCTGAGCTAGAACTGCAACCAGATTCTGGCCTCCACCTGCACCACCATGCCTCCCGAACACGTCTCAGAGCTCACCTCCTCCAGGAAGGCTTCTCTGTCCACCCTCCGGACTGCCGACTCCCTCCTTAGTAAGCACCATCTTTGTGCTAAATTAATGTAGGACCCTGTTGTAGTGCAAAATCTTTCATCTCAAGAGAACCTCGTGCTTCCTGAATGACTGTGATCATCTCCCTTGTCTCTGCCTAACAACAGGCCCATGATACCGTAGAACCTATGGGCTACCAAACAGGCTTCATGTTTCATTTCACAAGCTATCGCAGAGTGTGCACAGGTCCTGGGGATACTAGAATGGACTGAGGCCCCTGTCACAGTGGGCACTGTCTTGAGTCCTGAGCAAAAAGCACTGAGTCCACTGACTTGCTGGGCAGCTCCTGCAAGATCGCCTAAGCTCTTGGTGCCCTGGCTGCTCAGCTCTGATGCTGCACCAAGGACTAGGTAAGATGACCCACCTGCTCAGCCCCTGGCCCTCTCCCATCTGCACCCCAGCCAGGATCCAGAGTCTAAAGGGAAGCCCAGATACTCTCACCTGGGTTCCTGACCATGGTATACTCAGCTCCATCCCCTGTGCGTTCATCACAAGTTTCCACTGAGTGCACCTATGGCCCATTACGCAGAACAGGAACCTGGAACCTAGCTTGGCCTTACCTTCTTTCTCTTGTTTTCACCTGTTCCGGTGTTTCAATCTCTATCTCCACTGGTTTCAGAGACAGAATAGACTGAGAGGTTGAACTTTCTCCTACATCACCAGGTGCAGGCCCACTAAGTTCTAGCAACGACAATTTAAAAAATCAAGTAACAGTAATAACAATAGCTAATATACTGAACAAGATCAAGTCCTGCTGGGAAGGAGAAGTAAGGAATAGATTTAAGGTCCACACTGGCATGACTACTTCTATCAGGCTCTGTGTTCCTAGGCAGGCTCTGTGCCAAGTGTGTTATATTCATTTGTCCCCTTTAGCCCCGACAGTCTTCAGATGAGGGAACTGAAGGACAGATACTGAGCTGAGTTACATATAGGCCGCTGCCATTGAAAAGCCAACACCCATAACATGTTTCATTGTTTTTAACCAAATAAGAACAATCTCCTAGTGTATTACTACAGTAACACTGATCACAATTTTACTTGCCTGGAATTATGATTTAAATGTGTCTTCCACTCTCAGATAGAAACCTGTAACTGACAAGGAACGCATCTTTCTCAGCTCCTCATCCCCCTATTCCCAACATAGCTTGTACCACTAGTTGAAAGAAACAGAATCTGTCTGCCTGGATCTGACTGGAGACTTCACTAGCAAAAACACTTTTAAAGAATTCTGACTCTAGAGGCCAGGACACCTCATGGCAATGAATGCACTAATGACAAAACTGTTTCTACATACAGTCCCTACTAAAATGAACAAGGGCTTCTAGGAGAGAAAATGTTGATTTCAGGTCTGGATCTAGGAAAGTAATGGAAAACCTAGAAAATCTTGTGCCAGAAAGCAAAAATGGTCTCCAAAATTCCTGAGACCATGTCAAAAGATGTCGTAGTACAGTGAGCTTAAACTGAGTTTTACGAGTCAGATGGATCTTAATAGATGCAGTGAGGTATAAAGCACCATCTAGGAAGTATCCTCATGCAAGAAGAAAAATAATCCAAAATGAATCAAGTCTTTGGACTTAACTTACAGTTTACAAGAAATACAGGGTTACTGACGTAAGTTTCACACTACCATGAAATGTCTGTTTCAGACAAAACTAGAACATAAGACACTCTTAAAAAACAAGAGGCCTGCATCCTTCAAAAGAAGCAATACAGCCAGCCACAATGGCACACACATGTGATCTCAGATACTCAGGAGGCTGAAGTAGGAGGATCCCAAGTTGAAAGCCAGCTGAGCAATTTAACAAGACCCTGTCTCAAAATTAAATAAATAGGGCTGGGGGGTGCAGCTCAGTGGTAGAGCACTTGCCTAGCATGTACAAAGCCCCCAGGGAATACAGTTCTAGATTTAAAGAGTAAAAAGACGTAACAACTCAATACACGGCTTACAAACCCACTGAATCCTGAATTAGCAAAAGGACCAAGATACAGCTATAAAGATAATTTTATTTATTTATTTTTTGAGACAGGGTCTCGATATATAGTTCAGACTGACCTTGAACTCACTATGTAGCTCAGGAAGGCCTTGAATTCATGGAGATCTTCTTGCCTGAGCCTCTTGAGTGCTAGGATTACAGGTGATCGCCACCATGCCCGACAAAGATATTCTTAATACAACTGGGGATTACTTTTATTCTCTTAACTGTGATAATGTTGTTTTGTCATGCAGGGGAATGACTTATTCTTAAGTAATGCTGGAGTGTTTAGAAGCCGTGTTAGGATGTCTACAACTTATTTTCAAATGGTCTCACAATACGAGAAAGTTGACGAACCTAGGTGAAGAGTATATAAGTACTACTTTCCAGTTTTTTGCAGGTTTGAATACTGTGAAAGTAAAAGGTTGGGGAAGAAAATCACATTCACAACAGAAGGAATCAGGAATGACCACATCAGCTGCTATTTACTGAGTATATGGTGCCCTGGGCCCTTATATTTGCAAACATTTTTTTCCTACAATAGTGCCAGTCCTGGAGTACACACTCATACTAAACATCCAGTGTTTACAGAACACTATCCATGAAAAAGCTGAGCTCCGCAAAGTCAATTTCCTGCTCAGGCAGTCACACGAGAGGCAAGACTAGGCTCTGCACTGGGTCTGATTACTCCAAATCTCATCCTCTTTCTCCTACATGCTGCTGTCTCTCTATTCACAGCTTCCTCATTAACAGTCACCAGAGGAAGAGAATATATGATCTTCTTTGGTACCTTGGTCACAGATTTTTCCTTATATCAAAGCAAGTTCTGCCTGTGCCTCTCTGTAATCCAGCTACTTGGGAGGTTAGACTGGAGGATGGCAAGTTTAGGACAAGCCTGGGCAACTTAGCAAGACCCTACCTCAAATTAAAAGGGGCTGGAAATATAGGACAGTGGTACAGTGCCTCCGACTTCTTCCTACAGCCTTCTCTTTAGTCTTAGGTTTTATCAGTTTCATAAGAAAACCACAGCACTGCACTAAGGAGAGGAAAGATATTTCTTAAGACAGGGAAAGATGCCTCACCTTCAACCTCTTCCCAATCATCTTCACTTTCTTCCTCGTCTCTTTCATCACTACCTTTGTCCACAGCAGCCTCTCTCTTTGGATGTTGTGCCTTCTTGAGACCACGTGAAGAGTCCCTGGTGGAGATTACAGGAAAGAAGACGAAGAAGTCTCAGACATCCTCATGTAACTTTCAGGCTAGACGCATTTTAAGAACTTGCCCTTCTATTTACTCATGTTGAGACTCCACTACCATGAGGTATGGAAGGATGGTGAGTGCAAACTTCATTTCCTCCATCGGTGAGGCTCTCAAAATCTCATCAAGACATGCTCTGATTATCAGTTTTGTTAATACCAGATATGCTGTGAAGTGCGCAGAGCCTACTGCCTCCAGCCTGTGTGCAGGAAACACAGCTGTCTGGATATAGCGAGTGCTAGGTTCACAGAAGCCACAGTAGCAGCATGAGTTCCAGACACATTAGTGCTATATAATGCATGCACGTGCATCTGGAAGCCACAAGGGAGAGAATCTGAATTTGCTGATCCACCTGAGAACCAACTCAGGCTTTCTTTCCACCCTTTAAAATATGATGTAAGGAAGGCTGTTATCCGAGCACTCATGAGTTCAAGGCCAGCCTGAACTACATAGCAAGATCTTGTCTCAAAAAAAACAACAAAACAAAAAAAGATGTAAGGAAGCTAAGTTGGTAGAACTCTTAATTCAAGATAAGTGAGGTTGAGGGCCGGGGATTTAGCTCAGTGGTTTTGCCACCTCCTTTGGATGCGCAAGGTCTCAAGTTCGATCCCCAGTACCAAAAATAAATAAATAAGAAAAAAGATAAGTGAGGACATGACTAGACATACATATGTCATAACAGAAAAATGGAGAACAAGATGGCTACATAGCTATTGCATAGGTAAGTAGCTAAACAACAGCTCAAGACTAAACAGCTGTTACTATATATGACATATTTCTCCAAATTTATATATAAACATGTCTAGAGTTCTGAGTTACTTTTAACTTTTGTTTTGCAGTATTAGGGATTGAACCCAGGGCCACACCTCAGCCCTGAGTTACTTTTAGCTTATGTAAACACTGATGCTAAGTGACATTATTAGCTAAGATTTTAGCACATGTAAAATGACCAATCCTCAGCCTTCCACTCTAATAACGCACACTCTTTTTTGCCTACTACTTTCTTGAACACTGTATAAACAAAACCTTCCCCTTAACAATAAACACAGAAAAGCCAGGAGTGGTGCCATATGCCTGTAATCCCAGCACTCGGGAGGCAGAGGCAGGAGGAGGCTGAGACAAGAGGGTGACTTTGAGTTCAAGGCCAGCCTGGGCTACATAGCGAGACCCTCTCAAAAAAAAAAAAACCAATAAACACAAAAATGACCACACACTATGGGTTGGACCAGCTGATTCTTGGTGAGAGCAAGGAGGACCAGGGCTGTCCTTGGCAGCACCCTAGTCTATCTCTTGAGTAGCAATCTCTAGAGAGGGACTTCAACTAGTGAGGGAGCAAAGTGTAAGAGGACAAAGGAGCCCCTGGGCCAGGCTGCCTGCTTGTCCTGCCCCTTTCCTCCACTGCCCTCTGCTGCATACTCTCCCAGCCCAGGATCAGAGACTCTGGAACAGGGACTCTCCAAGCCAGGATATGAGCAAAGAAAAACCTACTATTGTACCTTTCTGCTTTTCCTCTAACCACTTCCCCCACCGCCTGCTCAAGAGACAGATAATCAACCAGGCTCACGTAACTGTTCACCACACATTAATGTGAAGGATCATACTGCAAAATATTTGGCACACGCCAAACAAGAGGCCCAGGCCAAGATGCCACAGGACTGGAAAAATGAACCACAGGTGGTTCTGGTCTTGGAGAGCTTCAGCCCGAGGATGAGGTCCCAAATAACTATAATACCTGGTAGACATGTTCACTCTTCAGAAACATGGTGGGAACTCAAAGGAGAAAGTGGGGAAGAAACAATGAAAACTCTAGAGCAAATGGCTTCAGATACAGGTCTTCGAGGCAGAAGAAAGCATTCCAGGCAGAAGGAAAAAATATGCACACAATACAGGTGCAGCAAAGTACAAGGATGTGCCGAGTGAACGATGAGGAGGAGTGTGAGCTTGTGGAGAGGGGTGCCAGGCAGTGCTGGAAGAGCAGGTAAATACTTTGCACGCATCCACCATCTATCTCTGTGTAGTCTAAAGAGCACTGGACCACAAGCCTCTTGTCACCGTCCAGCTGCAGCACTAGGAATAAGTTACTGTCTGGAAGCTATCACTGAGCACAGAAAACTTTCCAGCACTTTCTGGTCTGAAGAGTTTAAAGACCCCTCCTTCTCCCCAGATCCCAGCAACAAGCAAAGAGTGGGTTCTCTGATCGGAACAAGCAACGTGGGTCTGAAGCTTTTTGCCATCTCACCTGAAATCTTCCCCATCACTGAGGGGTTCATCCTTTATTGCCTTGAGTTTTTCAGATTTAACAGTCACCTTGGTCACTTTCTTTTTTACTGGACCATCTGCGGGGGCCCCAGGATCAGTGAAGCCTCTCTTCCTCTCTCCTCGTGAAACTTTTGAGTGAAAGCTCTTCTTTGGCAGTTTCATTTTCTTGTCTTCAAAGACATCTACGTGACCACAGGGAACAAGAGGTGAGGGAATGGAAAGATGGAGGCAGTATGGCTGACAGGCAGGATCGTGAAGAGGCTCCAGGCCCTCTCTCCATCCACATCTCTATTACCAGTTCACTATCCCATGTCTGCACACAACTGGCTCTCAGCTTCTCCCCATCTGGGCCCAGACACCTCATCCATGTTCAGAGTAAAAAAATCACTTTTTTTTTGCAATGGAGGTGGGGGGCTTGAGTGTGCTAGGCAAGTACTGTCCCCTGAGCGAACCACTCTCCTTTACCAGCATTTTACTCTACAGAAGCCCTGGTACAACTCAAATACAATCTAAATTCTATCTTTTTGTTTTTACTTTTTTTTGAGAAAAGGTCTTGGTATGTAGTTCAGGCTGGCCTCAAACTTGTGGTAAATCCACCTGCCTCAGCCTCCGAGTGCTGGGATTACAGGTGTGCAATACCACACCTGGCCAACTCTAAATCTTAATTCCAGTGAAGAAAATACCTGAACCCACTCAACGCCTTCTTTACTGCCTGCCAAGAGAAACGATTTGTTTGACAGGTGATCCACTCCTTTTAGGTGATGTTTCCAGTATATCTTATATACACATTTCTACAACCTTAACCCGTTTCTGGCAAATACCTAAAACTCTGCTCAAAACACACACCACTTATGAAGCATTTCAAATTTAACGTAACCAGCACTTGTATACCAACCGCCTTGATTGTACCAAACTTAGGGTTGGAATAAAACAGTACAGGTTGTGTCCCTTATCCAAAATGCCTGGGACGAGTGTTCGTAGGTCTAGTTTTTCAGATTTTGAAATGTTTCCATGGACAGACTTTCTTGGTTGAGCATTTCTAATTTGAAATCTCAAACTTCTGCCATGTTTCAGGTTTTGGATCATTTCAGACTTCAGATTAGGGATGTTCAACCTGTAGGAATTCAAAGCTATCTTTATTTTCTTATAAGAACTACTAGTGTTTCTGTTAAATAAAAACATTAAAAAGTCACAAGCTGTTGATTTTAGTTAAATTAGATTATCTAAATACTGTTTATTTACATCTAAATGCTCATATTAATAAATTTAATAATTTATAAATAATATGGCATGGGGGATATTTTCCTGTTTTGCAAATATATTCACACAAGTGATAAATCTTTGCTTTTCTCTATTCTTCTGCCTCAATTAACTTTGAGTAATAAAGATACTCTAGTTTTTAATTAAGGTTTCAAATGGAATGTTATTAAACTGAAATATCATTTGGGTTTTTTATTCATAGTTTGTCCTGCTGACTCCCTGGACAAGTATTTATATTCCTGAAGAACATATTTTTGCATGACCTTGCCCTTAAATAAAATCATAATTTAAAGTTCATATTAGAGATGCATTTGTTTTAATGCTAGATAAATTACTGACTCAGTTGTGTCTTTAAAATGTTTTATAAAAAAAGGAATCAATGTAGTGTCATGTTTGAAACACTGCGATACAATCATAAGAAAACATTTTGAAAAAAGAAATCCTTTAAAATTATTTTAAAGTTATTTTGAATCTGGTAAGAGAGTTCTTATTCTAAGGCCAGAGGCCCCTTGAAGGTTTATGACTTGATAGTTTTTCTTGAGCAGGAGGCCTTAGAATAAGGATTTGTAGATCTTACAGGGGTCTCTAGCCCTCTATCAATCATCAAGGATGTGAAATACTTGATTTACTAATCTAAAAACATAAAGAAGATACTTCAGAGTCACCGCCAATCTAACATGCCCAAGAGCATGCCTGAGCTCAATTTATTTTAGTAGTGGAGAAATGACCACTCTACGGCTTTCTTGGGCAGCTACTGAGATTTAGTAAGAATGCCTGCATAGCAATATCTCATGGCAGTAGAATAAAATTCCAACTCCTGAGCCTTATTTTCAAGGCAAGGGCCCTGCCCATTCTCCACCTCAGTCCCTCCCACTCATTGTCCATACTACCTCCACGCACCTGGCCTAGCTCATTCCCTCTGCCTGGAGAAAATTCCCCCCCAAATGTCCTATAATTGGCCCAAAATTACAATTACAATTACATTGACTCAAAACATAACTTCCCACAGAGGTCTGCCCTGAACACTCATTCTGATTTAGCTGCCTTCCCCTATACCCACTGGACTTTATTAAAGCAACATGTTTTGCTTTCTTCATAGCTCTATCTACACGTGAGTGGTTTTTCTTACCTTGTTATTGTTGGCCTCTCCTATTCTTCCCAAAGATGATAAGTATCATGACAGCAGGGACCGTGCCTGCTTGGTTTGGGGATTTCACTACCTAGAACATCGCCTGGCAATATTAGGTGCTTAATAGTTGTTGGAGGAACTGATGAATTACATCAAGCCATTAATATAGAAGAAATATGATAAAAACCCCAGAGAAATCCTTATAGCAATGAGGAAATAATGTGGATGGCTATGAGTCTACTTTCTTTGTTCCTGTCAAAAGCAGCTGAGTCTCACCTTCTTTGCATGCACAGCGGTGCTTTTAAAATCTACTGAACCGTCCCCAATTGTCATCTGCAGCCTGTACTACAACTGTCAGGTCTGTGCTTCTCTACCCAACCACAACAAAGATGGTAGTGCTGCCTGTTGGAAGCCACCACAGAAACTTCAGCAGTTTCTTAAAATAACTTGGGTGCATCCTTTCTTCTAAATGACAGGCCAAATGTCACAAGATTGCCTGACATGGGTTGCAGAGCTTTAGACCCCACCTCACTGAAAACTCAACAGCTACGCTACAGAGGAGGCTTGGAAAGGCTAAATTACTTGTTCAAAATAACTTACCCAAGTGCACATGGGTACTAAATGATGGAGCAACACAAAGCTGTACCCATGTGAAGTACTGGGCTAGGAAAAATGTTACCAAGGCGGGAAGCGTTTCCACCAGATTAAAACCTTTAATTTTTGAACTGCCATATATATAGCACACAATCTGAGTGGAATCACAACTCCCTTAACAGCCTCTTGCTGAAGTGGTACCCATCCTTAAAGGTGCACATTAAACTCAGATCTTCTAGAGAGCATTTCCCAATCCCTTGTCTATTCTTGACTATTCTTTTGGAAGCTACACAGCCTTATACTGTACTTTATCCCATGATACTGAACCTGCTCTAACTTGGATACTTTATATGCAAGTGTTATGTCAACAGTACTCTAAGTTCCTCCAAAACCTTTCTACCTCCCATGTAACCTAGCCTGTGTATGTCACATAGTAGATATTTTTAAAAGTTACCTGAATGAATAGGTAAATAAAACCCATAGTAAGTGTGGGGTAAATCACTTCCTAAGTTTAGGAATTACTATCATTTGACTATCTCTTCATGGACAATGAATTTATATTCGGCACAAAATCACAAAGCTGGTGTCATAGGATCCCTTGCAAGTTACCTAATCTTCTACTCAATCTTTTCAGAAGATCCAGACCGCCCTTCTACAATCCGCATTTTTAACATATTTAAGACATTTACTGTCTATGCAGTGAGGGGAGCAAGAGGAAGAACAAGACACAATGCAGCAAAAAAAAAAAAAAAAAAAAAAAAAAAAGTCGTGTTCTCTTGAAGCTTAAATTCTAGACAGGCAATCGAAAATTATCAGGATCATTACAGACAGAATCAAGGAGAGCATTAAAGTATGGTAGAAAGTTCTGGGAAAGAGTACATTCATGGAGGGGAGTTGAGACCTTAAGTAACAGAAGAAATGAACCTCAGCAAGAGCCACGGAAGAACACTCTGGGCAAAAGAAACATGGAGGGCAGAGGCTTCAGGTGAAAATTTAAATTGTCGGATTTGAGGGACAGAAAGAAGGCCAATAAAGCGCAAGGACCCGAGTTCGATCCCCGGTACAAAAAAAGAAAGAAAGAAAGAAAGAAAGAAGGCCAATAAGAACAAGCAAGGGCAAAAAACGGGCCAGAAGTGGCAGCATCAAAACATGTGAGAACATGCAGGGGCATGTTGCCATGCTGCTGAAGCTGGGTTTATACTTAGAGAAATGGGGAATCGTGGTGGTATGAAGTAGAACCATGCCTTTTTAAAAGAGCATTTGGGCTGCTGGGTAGAGAATATTGCAGAGGGACGAGAGAAAGCCAGAAAAGAGGCAACTCATGCGGCTGACAGATGCCGAGGCGTGGACAGGGGCTGTGGCCGCGCAGGTGACAGCTCTGGTCCAATCCTGAGGCTGGATTTGCTGGGGAGCACGAAGTGTGCCCTACGGGAAAGGACGTTTGCTTTCACTGGTGGGGGAGATGGTAGGTAAGATGGAGAATGCAGGACGTGTCTGCACGGGATCGACAACTGGCTGGCCCAGGGGACGTTGGGAAGCCCGCCCGCCACCGCCTGGGACGCGTGTGGACGAGGCTGGGCTGTGGGAGGGACTAGGCGAGGCGAGGCGACCAGGACACCGCCTCCCGCTCCTCCGGACCGGACCCGTGGGGACGGGGCGAAGCTCACGCGTGTGACCCACGCCAGGGAACGCGCGCCGCGACCTGGGCCCCCTGTTCCTCTTTGTCACCCCCTCGATCCCGGACCCGAATCCCCACTCCACCCCTCCTCCGTCCAGGCTCCCGCCCCCTTCGTGACAGCTACTCGCTCTCACCTGCCTCCTCCTTCTCCTTACGCCGGGCCACGCTCGAGTCCCCGGCCTTTCTGCCCCTCGCCGCGCGCTTCCGAGCCATGCCGCCGGGTGATACTGCCCCCAGAGAGAAACGTTCGCGCCGCCTCTGGATACAGAGGTCCAGGGGGCCAATACGTCTGCCTGGGCGGGGCGAGGCCGGGCCGCTCCCCTTTCCTCAGAGGAAGCCTCGCCCCCACCCAAAGGGCCTATATAAATAAACTACGGAAAGAATACTGAACAAAACAGCAAAACAACTTTCTACTTCCGGTGCCTCCGTCCTCGCGTTTCCCGAGACCAGAGAAGTTCGCGTGTTCTCGCGAGAAGCAGGAAAGGGCGCAGGGTTTGAAAGATGGCGGACGACGTGGACCAGGTGAGTGAGTACTGAGCTCGCTCTGCAGCAGGCGTCCCGTTTCCCGCCACTTTCTGTTCTGGCTCTGCTCGGATCCGCGCGCTAGCGCTGCCTCCCCAGGACTTCGCGGAGGTGGCCTATTGCGCCGCCCGGCCCTTTCAGCCCTGTCCCGAATACTCGCCACCCCCCCACCCCTCCCCCACCCCCGCCCAGGGTTCAACTACGTAGTTTGGCCGGCTGATGGCGATGCACATTAGAAACTAATTCAGCGAGTCCCGAAGAGCTTGAGGGCGGGAACTTGTGGTTTCTGTGTCCTTGTAATCCACTGGCTGGTCCTTAACAAACACACCTGTTTGGATTTTTTTTCCTGGCCTCTGAAACCTGTTCCCAACAGTTCTTTATTCGTAATAATGGGAATTATTTATAAGTATTTTCTCTTTACCAAGTGTTAGGTCATTCATTCCTCTCAAGAACCCCGAAGGAAGACTGTGGCTTCCTTATTTGGGATCTGAGAATTAGAGATACCAAGATTTTTAATCCCAGTTCCAAAGTGCCAGTCAGAGCAAGCAGTTGAACCCAGTCTGCCTGATTCTAAAGCTAATGCTTTCAGCCAGTATTCTGTACTACCCAGTAAATGTATTCATCTCACTGGCCAGTCAGCAACCTGAACTCAACCTGTCCTGTGCTGAATTCCTAGTCTTCCCTTACATCTTCACCTCAGCTTAGCATTCTAGCTCATGTATGATAGGCATTAAATGAATGATTCTCATATGATTAAATGATACATTTTTTTGCTTAAATTCTTTTATTGGTACGTTTTAGGTATACACTGCGTTTACATTTATCATTGGGTGCTTGTACCTGTACACGATGTATCTTGGTTCTTATTTTTTCCCCATTCCCTGTGCTCCCTTCACCTCCTCCACCCTTACCTATTTACAAAGACTTTGATTCAATTTTTTTCTTTTCTCATAATTTTTCCTTTCCCTTCTTTCCTTTCCCCTTCCCCTCCCAGTTCCCCTGCCCTTTTGGACCTTTTCTTCCTATTTCAAATTATCAATTATTCATTTTAATCCTTCTTTACACTTTCAGTTTCTCACACTAGAGAAACTATTCGGTATTTGCACATGTGTGTCATATTTATTTCACTTAAGAGTATGGCCTTGGAAGGGGAAAGGAAAGAAGGGAAAGGAAAAAAAAAAAGTATGGCCTCAATATGCATCCATTTAGCTATAAATGACTCTAGTTTCTCGTTCTTTATGGCTGAGTAGTACTCCATTTTATTAAAAAAACCACATCTTTATCTAGTTTCCAGTTGATGGGCACTTGGGCTGTTTCCAGGCTTTAGCTATTACAAACTGTGCCGCTATAAACATGGGTGCACATATATTGCCATGGTATGATTCTTTTAATTCTTTGGGGAAGATACCCAGCAGAGGAATAGCTGGGTCACTTGGGGAAAAAATTTTAGCAGCTGTATCTCAGACAAAGGACTACTATCTAGAATATATAAAGAACTGAAAAAAATCAGACACCCCCCCCCCAAATTCAAAGACCCAATTCAAAAATGGGCATCTGAAATGAACAGACATTTCTCAGACAAAGAAGTAAAAGCAGCAAATAAACATATGAAAAAATGTTCAACATCACTGGTCATTCAAGAAATGCAGATGAAAACGACACTGAGATTCCACCTCACCCCAGAAAGAATGGCTGCTATCAAGAAATCAACCAATAACAAATGCTGGCTGGGGTGTGGGGAGAAAGGAACCCTTCTCTGTTGTTGCTGGGAGTGCAGACTGGTGTAACCACTGTGGAAATGAGTATGGAGATACCTCAAAGAATTAGGATTAAATGATAATTTGAGATAGGCTGATGTCCCTGAGCGTGACTTCCTATACCTTGAATTTAGGTCCTACAGTTTGGCTTTTGAGGGAAGAAAGTATAGTGGTGATTATTTTGCTGTGCATCTCTTAACTATGGATATATATTTTGGCTTTCATTTATATAGAACATACTATACAAGAGGTATTGTTGTGAGCCTTCATAAATATCACCTAAGCCTCAGAACAGCACTATTGAGTAGACATTATTGTTTTCCCCATTTTACAAAGTAGAAGACTGAGGTATAGAGAGGGGAAATAACATGCCCATGGTCACACAACCTAACAATCATTCAAACACTGCACTACCTTTGCTAGTACATTACCAAACCTGTTTATTTTATCAGCAACAAACCACCAACACTGTAGAGGAGCCACTGGATCTCATCAGACTCAGCCTGGATGAGCGAATCTATGTGAAAATGAGAAATGACCGAGAGCTTCGAGGCAGATTACATGTAAGGAAGTATATGAAATTACCTTGAAATCAGAGTGTTTCCTTATCATTTCTTCCTACCCTCACTCCTTTGAAATGTCAAAACTACCCAGTGGAAGAGAGGATTTTGAATTATGGAGGAGAGGGAGGCGGAAGGTCACTCATATTTCTTTAAGCCAAATACAGTTATACTTTATTCATACTTTTAATGGTTTTTCTCCCAACAGAAATATCGTTATTACATAGAACATTTACGTTTCCTTACTTTTTCCCTTCTGTTTAGTAGTAAGTTTACTTGTCCTCCATTCTTAAATGCTTTTTAGTTACTTTATATGTATAAATATGTTTTGTTGTGAAAAAATTAAATAGCACAGAAATATATAGAATAAAAGATAAAATCCCATTTCCTCTATTGATAAGCACTGTTAAAATTGCATATATAGTCATTCAGGTATGTTCTGTATATTTACACGTATGTACACATCTGCTGTGTATATATTTGCACTATATATAGACCACCTCTTTAAAAATGGGATCCTGCCATGCATATTTTTCAGCACCTCTGCTTAATCTTTCATGGAAATCATTGATTATTGATTATGATGCATATAAGTATCCTTTATGGGTCTGGGGATGTAGCTCAGTGGTTTCATCGCCAGCTGGGCAAGCGCAAAGACCCAAGTTCGATCCCCGGTACCAAAAAAAAAAAAAAGTATCCTTTATTTATGTCGAGAGGGCACTAGACAGCAGCTAGCAGCCTAGTGACAGCCTAGGATTCTGAATTTGATAGTAGTGGTATTTAGATTGTTTTCCATTTTTGACTACTATAAGTAAGTCTTATAAGTCCTGCTGCAGTGGGACTTTTTATACACATTTCTTTGTTCATATCTTCAATTATTTCTGTAGAATTAGTCTCTTGAAATGGTTCCATTTGTTCATAAGCGTACACTGAAGGTTTTGCCTCTTGTTGGTGACTTGCTACTTACCTATCAGTTAAATAGCATTAATTCTATGCCAGGTGCTGTTATACTGAGTGTTTTGAATGTGCTATCACTTGATCTTTGTAATAACTGTGAAGATAGCTTCTGTTAATTATTTCTGCTTTGCAATTGAGGGAGCTCAGGTTCAGAAATGTGAAGTTACTTGCTCAGCCTGACATAACCAGTGTGGAAGAACTAGAATATAAACCCAGGCAATGTGATTTAAGCTCCACTCCCCACCCCCACCCCCCGGTACTGGGGTCCAAACTCAGGGTCTTGCCCTTGTAAGGCAGGCACGGTGCACTGAGCTAAATCCTCAGCCCTAAGTTCCACTCTTAAGCACTGTGGTTCCACTTTCCTTGAAACCAAAAAATAAAAGACCTCTGGGGTTGGGAAGGAAACGGGTTAAGAGAGACTGTAGTCTTAATCTACAGTGAGCCTTAAAGGAGGAGGAACTCCAGGAAGTATAATGATGTCAACATTGGGGAGGGGGATGGAATTGAGCCTAATTGTATAAGTCTTTGACCCTTGGAGAGACACCCCAGAATGTTCATGTGACACTTAACTCTTGGGGCTTCTTCCATTACCCATGGTAGACCCATGGCCTCTATACTAAACACCACAACTTTCCATTGTTATGCTCCTCAGCTATACATTTTGCTTGTTCATGTGCCCTGCCTAGCAGCTCCTCACTTGGCTGGTAGGTTATTTTTGTCTTAATGTGAGCAGGCACACCATTTAATACTTTGTTAAAAGTATTAAATGTAACAGGGCTCTAGGACAGTGATGGTAAACCTTTTGGAGCTTTCAATGGTAAATAGCTGGCTGTGGTATGTATGCCATAGGTTTGCCATCACTGCCCTAGGAAATTTACCTACTAGTAAATGCATGAACTTTGGAGGTAGCATTGAAAATCTTCATTGCACCATTAATAGACTGAATCCACAGGTGCCAGGCACATTTAAGTTCTGGATAGATTATAAATCATGAAGTGTTGACCTACCTACTTCACCTTTGTAGTCCACACCAGGACAAGGAGGGTCAGACAACAGTATCCTGAGCCTTTAGAAGACTGCAATTCCATTGTCTTAGCAGTGAAAGGATTTTTTTTTATCTCATTTACTGTTTCTTGAAGAAGTATTCTGATTTCTATTTTTGTAATTTTCTGTGTTTTGTAATTTAGCATTATAAATGTTGTGAACACCTTGGATAACAAGTAGAATGGGAACTTAAAAAGTAATTTGAAGTTATTTTGAGTATATTCATTTTGGGCTGTGTAAACAACATTTTATTTTTATCAGGTCAATCACATTGTCATTGGAAATGATTTGTGAAGAAACAGTAGACAAACACAACAGGATCGATTTTTATTTGCATATAAAATTTGTGGTATAAGTCTTAAAAGTGCTGCCTGTAGCGCGGGTCATTTAGCTCAAGTGATTCTACCACCTGCCTCGCAAGTGGAAGATCCTGAGTTGGATCCCCAGTACCAAAAATAAAACAGTACTGCTTGTAGTTGTGCCATTTGCATGTTGTAAGCCTGTTCATTCCTTAGTGACATCTTGTGATTCCTTGCCCTCCCTACTTCAGGCTTATGATCAGCATTTAAATATGATACTGGGAGATGTGGAAGAAACTGTGACTACTATAGAAATTGATGAAGAGACATATGAAGAGATATACAAAGTAAGTCATGCAATTCTGTTTATCACTTTGAAAATATCAGTTCTCATAATGCAGCAGCTTAACACACGTTTACAGAAAGCCTATGATGTTGCGGCACCTACTTATGGACCTGATAGAGTCCAGAGGCTACTGCCAAAGCTATTAAGAGCAAGGGCTTTGGGGTTAGACAAACCTGGCTTCCAGTGCTGACTTGGCTACTTCATATCTAGACTCCCTTGGGCAAGAAATTAACATTGTAGACTTCTCAGTGGTGAGCTGGGGGCTACCACTTAACTTATAGAGTCTCCACATGCAGTGAGGTCTGTATCTAACAGTAATACAGGATCATACTCTTCTATGTTATGTAGGTTTACTCAGTCAATAATTACTATGAGAAACTAAAAATTTTAAAATACTCATTTAGAAATAGAAACCTGTCAGTTTTAACTATATTTTCTACTTTATGTTTATCTATTTTTTTTTTTTTTTCTGGTACTAGAGGTGGAACCCCTGGCCTCACATATGCTAGTCAGGCACTCTACCACTGAGCTACATCCTTAGGCTTTTTCATTTTTTGTTTTTAGACAAGGTGTCACTAAATGGCTCTGGCTAGTCTCGAACTTGTAACCCTCCTGTATCAGCCTCCTGAGTAGCTGGGATTACAGACATATGCCACAGAACCCACCTTAACTATATTTTCTAAAACAAAATATTTGATAAAAAGTGTGTTTTACATTTTTGCAAATCTCTGTATTGCTTGGCTTAATTGATAACAGCTACATTTGCAAATCTTTTTTTCTACACATAATCCATTATGATACGTTATAGTTGAAAACCTGAGTATGCACAGCTAGGCAGTTAGAGAAGGGAGGGGTATATTTTACAGATAATGCTGTACTCAATTGATGCTGATGCTGTACCCAATCTCAAGTGGTAGTTTCTACAGGGTTTGTTGCAATGAGGTGTCCAACACCTCATCAGTGAGCTTCATCTGTTCTTGTCCCATGAAAATGGATTGACCTGCTTTGTACTTCATGTGGGTCTTGGGTACGATATGATTTGATAACATCAAGCACTTGTCATTTGGAAATTAGTTCATTGAGTCATGCACATCTTCCAGATAGTGATGCATTTCACTGGTCAGTATTTTAATGGTCACATTTGTCAGTATCACCTATGTTCTCATCAGAGAAGCCTTTTCATTATGATACCAGTCTCTTGCCCTCTGGGACCCCAGATATTATGAATATGGGCTTGGACTTCAGGACTGCCTGGGTTCAGATCTGAACTCTGCAATCACCTGCACTGTTAGGCCAGGTTACTTTACCTGCCTGACTGAGTTTCCTTGTCTAAGATGGGGTCCACAGTAGTTTCCACTTCTACAGATGGGCCAAGCATGGGTTCAGAGTGAGTTTTTGCTGGTTTCTGTATCTCTCCGTGCTGGTTTTCCTCTTCCGCCCCAGACTACTCCTGACTCTTTCACCAGCGTTCTTTCAAGTGTGAGCATTTGGCTTTTTTTCCTTCACTTACATGTTCTTTTTTCCATCAGAGATGTTACTAACTTGTTTTTGTGGAGTTTTTTGCATTTCACATGTTTTTAAAGATAGTGTTACAATATTCCAACTCTAAAATGCACTTTCTTTTTTCATACATTTTATCATCTCTCAAATCCAGTTGCTTCTTATAGCTGAGATGATCTGAAAAAATAGTGTCAGTTTAATTGGCAGCATTTTTCCTTTTATAGTTCAGCTGAAGTTTACAAATGATATCTGTAATATGATGAAATATGGAGCCCACAGTTTTACATCTTGTCATGTAATATTATGAGCATGAGAATTTCACAGTAGAAATACGCTTCATAAACATTTGGTTGCTCTCATCCTTAATTCTGCTGTGACAGAAAGACTCAAGCTACTAATACCTGCTGTCAGAGAGGTCTGCCCTGGTGACTGCCGGCCCATCTCCCACCTCCACTCATCTGCTCAGCAGGTTCTCCACCTGAGACTGCTGGGAGGTGCTGGGTGTGTGCACACATGAGTGTGTCCTGGGGGAGGCAGTCATAGTTCCGGGTTGTCCCTGAGCTCCATAAAGTTGCCCACTGCTGCCTCCTTCAGCCTCTGCATGCTGCAGCCTGGTGCCCGGGGCCTCTCTTGCTTCCATAGTTGCAATTGCAGAAAAGAAAGCAAAGTTTGTCTAACTAATAAGACATTTCCTGCATTGTCATTTGTTGGGTAAAATGTTAAAAATGAGATCATTAAATGATAGAAAACACTTTCCTCATTTCTTCTGCAAAGGAACAACTGTCCTCTGTGGAACGTGTAGTACCACACTGCCTTCTGACAGGCCTCTGTTCTCACGTTAGCAGCTTGCCTGGCGGGATGTCAGAGGCTCACGGTGGGTTCTTGTATGTCAGTGTAAACGTGGATGGAAAGAACAAACAGTGCTCCTGCCAGAAACATTGCAAGCACAGTACCTCATTCTCTTGTACGTGCACACTCTGCCCAAGATGGGAAACCAGACTAAGAGCCTCTCTTACACGGTTACGTTTTGTTTTCTGTCCCCTGTTGGAGTAATTAATGAACATGAACATTACCAAATCAGGAGGGGATTCAAGGGCCAAAGGTATTTTGTGGGTTTTCCCATTGCTTACATAACTAACTTACATAACCATGATTTAGTTGCCTACTGATTTGCTAATGGTCGGGCAGTCAGCCTCACTCTTGGCTTTCTCTTCACACCTGGAAGTGTTTTGTAATCTGCTAAAAGTTGGATTATTTGGCCCCAGCAGACTTTTTGAGCCATCCATCATGTTTACCACCCTCCTTCCTCAAGCACCTCAGAGTCTGGCTCACCCCACAGTGTTTCTTGGACACCTTTGTACCTAAGCCTTGTCCTGTGCCTGACCTCTGCCTGAGGGAGGCCCAGAGACAGCTCTAGGTGTCCCTCTTGTCTCTTGGTCCACCCTCAAATTAGTGTTGATGTTGGTTTGCTTCAGGAAGTCTGGGTAGAAAGACAATGCCCGTTCTAATCTGCCTCAAGGCTGAGTTTTTATAACAAGTTTTACCAGTCTTTGGTTATCAATGTTCTTTTTCCTCGGGACTTTTCACTTATGAGGCATGAGGCAGAACCACTGAGCTAAATCCCTGACTCCAATGTTCTTTTAAAAACTTAATTTTCTGTAGCTTGGGTTTCAGAAACAACTGACTTTTCTAATCCCGTGAATCCTAGTTCTTTTCATCTCTGCTTAAAAACCAGCCCTTGGGCCGGGGATTTTGCTCAGTGGTTCCGCCACCTCCCCAGCAAGCCCAGAGACCCAAGTTCGATCCCTGGTATCAAAAAAAAAAACCCAAAAAAACGGACCCTCTGGGGCTGGGGATGTGGCTCAGTGGCGCCACGCCTGTCTGGAAACTATAAGGTCCTGAGTTCAATCCCTGGTATCAAAACAAAAAACCAGGCCTCAGTTGTTGCTTGAGCTTCTCTCTTTCTACAGCTTCCCCACTGAGTGCATCAGGCCTCAGCAGCACCTATTAACAGTTCACTTTTTCCAGCCTCTTCTCCAGAGCCTTGAGGTTCCATCCTTAGGGCTACCTTCTAAGTTCTGCCTGATGTTTGGCCAAGGCACAGTGAGGTTTTCATGTGTTTCCTGACTGCTGGCTCCCTACATGTGCCTGCAGTGTGTCACAGGGCTGATTTCCTGCCCATGTGAGGTCTCAAAGGGCCTCTTTCAGGTGGCTTTGGCATTGTTGTGCTATCTCCCAAGTTCTGAGTGTTGCTTGCTTTCAGCCAGTGGAAGAGGATGGACCACAAATGAGCATTGGTGGGAGGTTTATACGTCACTCAGCATGCAGTCCTATTTGCCTCCCATTGGTTAAGATGCAGTCCTATGGCTGATCGGGTGGGACGGAGTGTTAGAAAGCAGCCTAGTGGTGGAGAGGGACTGGGGTGGAGTAGGGCCCATTTTCCGCTGCAATTGTTAGTATCCAACAAAAGAAAAAGTAAACGTATTGATTGTGTTTGACAAAGTAAATGATCAGGTTTTTAATTTACTTTTTTGTATTATGAATATGTTTTTTTAAATTTCACAAAATAAATAATTACTATATTTGTATAAATATTTTTTTATTTGATTTTTTTTTCCTTTCTTTTCCAGTCAACAAAACGGAATATCCCGATGCTCTTTGTCCGGGGAGATGGTGTTGTGCTGGTTGCCCCTCCACTAAGAGTTGGCTGAAATGGAGAATCTGTTCTGTGTGGAAACAGTTGCCTCTTTAACTACACAAGACATTCAGAGGACAAGGCTACACACACACTGCTACTGAGAAATAGCCAGAGGATTTGTTCACCCCCGAAATGAGTTGATTTGCAAATACCTTACAACATTTGTTTTTGTTTTTGTTTTTTTGGTACCGGGGATTGAACTCAGGACCTTGTACTTTCGAGGCAGGCGCTAGAACTACTGAGCTAAATCCCCAGCCCTTTTTTGTTTTTGTTTTACCTTACAACATTTGAAGCTAAGTAGCATTTTTGTTTTTCTTTTAGCCTTCCACTAAACATGTTCACCAAGGTGCTGGACTCTTTTCCAGGAGTTGATTTGCTCTTTACATTAAACTCGATGTTTCCTTTTTAATTTAACATAGCCTCCTGTCTTATGAGTTCTTAAAGGATGTGTCTGATGTTCACTGTGTACGGGTTCACAGTGAGGCACAAAGTCCCCTATCACGTGGTGTTCATCATTGCGCTGTCACCTGCCAGTCACAGGGCAGGAGCTCAATGCTGATGGAATAGAGCCATATATAGAGCCCCAAGGGCTTGGGGCATTGTGCCTAAGTGAGGGGTTGTGGCCAAGTAAGAGCAGGGCTAAGGGCAGGCAGCATGTCATCTTAAATGTCACCATTCTCACAGAACACACGGCACAGTTCTGCTGTTGACACTACACTAGCTGTATGACTGAAGAAACCATTTCTTCCCTTGGATCCCAGGCCATCAGTGACGGGCCTGAGACAGCAAGCATTTCTCAGTGCACAGTGAAGCTGGAAGTGGCTAAAAGCAGGCCTGTTGTGACAGAATTCTAACATCAGTCATCCAGAACTCTGTGTTTAAAAAGTAAAAGGGAAAGTTGATACGGATTAACAGTCTCTTCACCTTTGTCTCCCTCGTGTCAGGGTTTAGAACCATTATGAAACACGGGAAATGCAGTTTGCGGATGACTCGTCTGTACACGTGCTGGCTGTTTGCTAACCATTACCGAGCCCAGCTCACTCACGTGGGCGTGGTATTCCAAGCCATGTGCTGCAAGAAAGATGCTTTCTGCACATGTCATGTGAAAAGGGTTTGTTTTCCTTGCTTACTGTACCTGTCCTTGCAAGTTAATGGAGAAGAGAGAAACTCTTGGGTGAGCTGATGGCAGTTTTATCTTGTACAGGGAGGCAGAGACTTTCCTTTCACCTTTGCCATTCTGCACCTCATCCTCAGGTTTAGTAACCTGTTTGCTGTGGAGCAGGTGGACAACGTCTGTTTCCCAGCTTAGAGTGTTCTGAAGATGTAAGTGCACAGTGGATGCCTCAGGTGACTCCACGTTGTGTACTTGCAAAAATGTAATGCTTGCAGCTGTACTGTGCAGTGGTATGAGATCGAAGCTAAAAGAGCTTAAGTCACTGTAGGCCCTGTGGCATCCTGGGGCAGCAGGGTGTGACTCCTGTCCCTGCCTGTGAGCCTGTGCAGGCACACTGCAGAGCCCAGCTGTGGTGAATCACGCCAGTGTCCATGGCCCAGGCATGACTGCCCTAGCCCTCACTCTGGCATGCTAAATCACCCCGCTGCAGTGCATTTATCTTTTGTGGGTACACACACAGACACAAATGTATGAGAATTTGCTCATTTGGCTATTAATACGGGCAGGGACAGTATAAGAACAGCCACATGTTGGCGTGGGAGGTGATGCATTATAAGCTCTGGAGGCTACCACAAGGCCCCACCACAAGCCAGATGGCAAGGTCACTTCTGCAGGGTGCTGGGCAAGGCCTCTGGGAGCCACACCTTGGACCTTGGAGGCTGCACAGCACTCCGTTCTGGCCTCCTGCTGGGTGGCCCTTGGTCACTGGAGCTAGTGACCAGTGGTCTCTGCAGCACGATGTCACACAGCTCTAGGGAGCCTCCTGATGGTCTTTCCTTTGGAAGCCTCATCAGCTCATGCCAACCCAGACCCTGTCTTGGCCTTCTGAGTTGTCTTCGCCTCCCACGGAGGAAGGTGGATAGACCGAACAGAGAACCATCTTGAGATGAAGTGTGTCCCAACTGAAACCCAAGTAGCTTGTCTGCCTGTAGACAAACCTAAGATCACTAGCTACATTCAGACAGTTTCACACTTCAGATAGTTTTGAAGACCTGTTCAAACTAGATGTATTGTCCCTCTGCCATGAGGAGGCGGCATCTGGCTTCTCCTGCTCTTTTATTTGTTGCTACAGACAATGCCCAGCTGCCGCCCAGAGTGAGGTTAGCAGTTGCCAGCTGATCGAGACTTGCTTGTGTTGAAGGTGGAAGATAACTGGCATCTCCAGAAGTCGTCCTGGCAGGATGTTTCTGCCACGCAGCATTGCTGAGCTCAGTGGACTTCGTTTGTTCTGGGGCCAGTCCAGATGTCCCAGTGACCTGGCTGCAAGGCTCTGTTCTGCCCGGCCAGCCCCTGTGCCATCTGTGGGCTGTCATTACAGCCAGGAGGATAGGGCTGTGACTGGCCATGCCTGCATCGGTGCCCACCCTGGGAACAAAGAGCTGGGCCATTCCCCCTTTGCTGATGGAGAGGCCTGATTCTCAGGACACCACGGGAAGGGCTAACTCGGTCTGCTCTAATTTATAGAAAAGTAAATCCCTTTGGTACTCTACTATTAGTAACAGATTTCTTGGAACATACTTCTTTACTGTGATTTTAACCTGGTCACAAGCTGGCACATCCCAGGAGGATCGATGGAACAGTGGTTCTGGGGTACTCAGAGTTCCTGGGTCAGGGAGCTGGCGAGCACAGAGCCCTACCCAACGTGCCATTCTGCAGCAGCCCCTGTCCGAGGCCTGGCCAGGACTGTCCTTGATCAGTGCCAAGTGAGTGGCCAGGGACAGCAGTAGCACTTTGTGGCCAACACTGGGCAGAAGGGGCAGGTGGCACTTTCCAAGAAGATGGGCTGTGCACCCTCAGCTGGAAGGTCCCCCTCACCTCTGCACCCGCTGCCATTGGCCCCTTCACCGCGGGCCTGGGGCCGTCCAGAGACACCCACTGTGGGCACCCAACTGGTTATCGGCTTACATGGAAAACAAACACCAGGAAATGAGGATGGCGAGGCCAAGCATTTTAAATTCCTTCCAGATCCGTTGCTCAACTTTAATGAACCAGAGCATGTAAATTCCTATTTTTTTGGCTGCTGTGGTTGCTTGTTGGGTGTGCACTTTTGGGTACTGATTGCCGCAGAGGAATTTCCTCCCACTGCTCCCCCTGCCCACCACGCTGCAGGAAGCTGGCCTTGAGTGGGTCAGGAACCTGGCCGCAGCGTCTAATCCCATGACATCTTGCCCGTTCCACTTGTCCCCAGTCTCCCCAGGGCATTTTCAAGAGAATCATGACTTTGAAATAAGTTGACTTGTTCAGTGCAAGCTCACTTTCAGGTGTCCACTGTGTGCAGCCATCTGTCATGGAGGGAGGTCTGAGGACTGGGAAGTGGCAAAGCGCTGGGGGAGAGCACGCTGCTTCCCATTGCAATGCCTTGGGCTGGCAGAGGGGCAGTCACTGGAGATTGGGCAGATCAGTGAGGACAGTCTTGCTGGGTCAGAGGTCAGCGAGGAGGCCCACAGGCTGCAGAAGTGGCCCCCAGAGAAGACGTGGGAGGTGAGAGGACAGAGGAGATGAGAAGCCCAGGAGAGTGACAGAGCCCAAGTCCACACGCTACTCCAGCTCTCCAAGTTCAGTCAGGCTGGACAGCCAGCCCCATCCCTGAAGTCCCTTGGCATGGGTCAGGTGCTGCGGCACCCCATTCTGTAACTCCCTTTGATCATGCCTCCACCTCACCATCTCCCCCTCAATGAAAGAAGGCATCTTCCTTTTTAATTAACAGCTGCCATTTGGGCCAAATTTGCCCATGTTTGTATGGCCAAATGACAGCTTCCCTGCCTCTGCTGGGCCCATGAAAAGAGGGCTGGGGTCAGACCTGCTGGTGCCCCCTGTTGCTGTGTGTGCATCTCTAGGAGCCTGGCCTTTCTGGTTTCACCTGTCTCAGGAGAAAATGCAGGGAGTTGAGTTCACTCCTTAGGGGCTGTCAGTAATCCAGCTAGGAGTGCACTTCAACTTATGCATATTTATTTTCAGTTTATATATCTTTAGTACGTAAAAGCTATACATATTAATGGATAAATGATGTTTTAGTAACATATGTAATATATGTTTAAACCAAGTTAAACATGGTTATCTAACTGGTAATAGAAAAAAAAACTTTGAAAATCCTTTACCTTAACTTTTTGAAGTGCAGTATGTTAGTCACCTGTTGTTACCCTACTGTGCAACACTACACCAGTTCTAGCACCTCTTAACCAAGTTCCCAGGATCAAGCAAGGGACACCAGGAGGCGCTGTGCTCTTTGCTTTCCAACCTCACTTTGGTTTGTAGTCAACTTGTGATGGTCTGAGAGCTTTATGCCACTTACTTCCCTAAATCCAGTGTGTGCAACGCCAACCCTACACTGTCTCCTGTAGGGGAGAAGAGAAAGCAGCCTGGTCCGGAGGCCCAGGGAGGAAGCTGTGAGGTGAAGTGCCCCTAAAAATGCCCCATCCCAAGATGCTGAGCCGAGAGGCAATTGCCCACTGGAGTGTGTCCCGGGCTGGGCGGTTGTGTCACCACAGTGGGCCCTGTGCACGCAGCTGAGTGTTGGCTCCATGGAGCTGTCGTTGAAGTTCAAGATCAGATCATCAATGCCATTGAGCAGATCCTGTTCCTGCTCTTTGCCTCAGTGTCCTCACTGTGGTGTTCTTTCAGCTTAAGCAGCATGTTTTGAAGAAGGCCTAGGATCACTGTCACTGATCGAAAGAGCCCTGCTTCACAGTTCCTGAGAAACTCTTGGGTGCAGTGTCTAACAGCCAACCTTTGTGTTTGCTAGGTAAGAATACAGATTACATTCGAAGCCAAGCACCACTACCCAGTAATAGCTGGGTACCAGACTTGGCCTCTTTGGTCCCCAATTTCCTCTTCATTAAAATGGGGTAGTGGCAGTGCCAACCTCAGGAAGAGGGCCTAGGACTAGATGATGTCCCCAACCCTCCAGCTGGGGCCTGGCACAGGATAGGGACCCTGCTGTGTCTGCTCCCCTCGCCATGCAGGTGGCTCTGTAAGGTGCTTCCTGTCCCCTCCTAGTGGCCTTCAGGCCTCTGTCGATGGTCCCCAGGATGGAGGGACCACCATAAATAGCTATCTGTCCTTATACCCAGGGTCAGCCTGGTCATCATGAGTTCACAGCTTCTGTCTTGGTGTGTCTTGTTACACCATTCTCCTGAGTGTCATCTTTGCTGGTTTTCCTTTGTCCTTATTTCAGGCCGAGAACAGTTGGAAACTGGGATGGACCACAGTGAGTCATGGTGGGGTTTAGAAATCTGAGGGG